CTCTCTCTCCTTCTCCTCCATATTCTGGCACAGTTTGGATACCTGTTCGTTAGAGGACTTGAGACCAACCGAGAGAGACTCCACTTGACTGTTGAGAGTTTGTATTTGGGTATTCAAATGGTCGCATTGCTCCTGTGCTTCATTCCTAATGGCTAATAACTTCTCCAGTTCTTCTTCTTTTACCTCTAATTCTGCGTTCGCTTCCAAAAGCTCTTTTTTAGCCTTTTCTCTCGACTCTTCGCCTCTTTCCAGTTCCGCTGTTACTTCTCTCAGTGCTGCTTCATTTTCCTCACAAGTCTTCTTCAGCTCCTCATATTTCTCCTTCTCTTTTAAAAGTTGAAAACGATTCGCTTCTAATTGTGACTGGAGGTGTTCGGCTGATTGCATTGTAGCAATGGCGTGCTGTGCTTTAGTTAATTCTTTATTTAGGTGGTCATTAGTCTCTTGAAGCTCTTCATTCTTTTGCTGCTGGGATACAAGTTGTTCTGGTAGACACTCAAGTTCATGTATGCGAGTGGCTCTCTCCCTCAACTCTTTTGTGAGTTTAGCCTCTGAGGATCTCAGTCTCTCAATCTATACTCATGAATAATTCATCACTTAATTGACCAGTAGTTATCGGGTTACCTCTTTTCTGGAGTTGCTTTCAAACGATTCTAATTTTTCTTGTAGCGATTTGATGACATCTCTCTGTGCCCCTCTCTCCTTTTGTAACAGGAGTAACTCTTTCTGTAGCAGTTTTACCTGTAAATGTGTAAATGCGTAAATGCATGGACACAAAATGTTAATATTATATAGTATCAATAGCTACTATTCAATACCTGGTTATTTAATGTATTTCTCTCTTTCTCTATCAATCTAGCCTTTTCCTCTTCTTTTTCTTTCTTTGCATTCTCTTCATTCTGCTTGCGTGTTAGCTCAATCTACATGTACATGTAAAGAATTAACATGCACGGTTGCACACAATTATCAATATTATTATTGTTATTAATAAAAATATAAATAATTACTTCTTTTATAAGTGATGATATCTTCTCTTGAGCTGATTTCAAATCCTCTTCTGTTATCACTTTACTAGTCAGCTGAGCCTCTAAATTCCTTATCTACATGTATAATACATTTAAAAATCCATGCTATAGTAGAACTATTTTATTAAAAATGGCTAGGAGAGAATTCTCTATTTTATAATTTTTACTGATCAATGCACGTGTTCTTATGTTGCATATAAATTCTGAGCCAATTCCAATCTAATTTGAATTTTTTTAGAAATTTTTGAAGTTGCTTGAAATCGGCTGTACTGGGTATTTTGTCAAAAATGGAGAGAATTCTCTATACACATGCAAGTATATGTACATGTTCATACCTGTTCTTCTAATTCTGTGATTGTATTTAACTGAACGTTAAGATTAGTTTCAGATTTACTTAGCTCTTCTTGTGCCTGCATCAACTCATTTTGATACTGTATTGCCTAGTAATAATAATAATAATAACAACAACAACAACAACAACAACAACAACAGTAATAATAATATACACATTAAAGTTACCTGTGTTGATGATGAGAGGAAGCTATTAACAAGATGAGACACAGACTGATACAAATGAGGTATTATATCTAGAGAAATAATGGATAAAACATACATGTACATGTTAAGTATGTACATGTACATGTACCTTGTATTGAGTGTAAGTTAGGCGAGGCACTTTCAAGATCCCAAATGGCGGGTACATCAGAACTCGAGTTAATAGATAAAATTGTTAGATTATCATCATCATCATCTTCATTATTAGCGTGGGCGTAATTGACAGGCATGACTCCATCTTTGACAGTAGCAGTAGTGCCATTCTTTGGATGAGAATCTTCAAGACCACTGTCTCCAGTACTGGCAGTAATTGTTTTGTGGGTGTGGTTGTTAGGTGTGGTCATGCCATCAGACAAGTGAGCAGGTGATGTCCATTCAGTGGCGGGCGGGGTCAAGGTGCTATGATTAATATTTAGAGGAAGAAGTGATGAAACTGTTTGATGCAATGTTAGCAAAGCTCCTTGCAACTTATCCCTAAGGAAATTATCATGATTATCATAATTTTTATTTTATTAATTTTTTTGCTGTAAAATATTAGTTTGAAAAAAAAGCAAAGACAATGGTCTATCAGCCAAAAACTGGTTGGAACATGTACAATATGCACATGCACTTGCACTATATGCATTGCTGTACCTTTCTTGTTGTACATCATGCAAGTGAGTGTGCAGTGCTTGTAATGTGTTGGTGTCTTCAATGTGACGCTGCTCAGAGGCTAAATTTGATTCCCTTATCTCATCTTTTAGCTAAAGACAGAGAGAGAGAATGAAGGAAGAAAAAGTGAGACATTAGAAAGAGAATGTGTATACATGTAAATGTACGTACCTTCTGTATATTAGTTAGGTATTCTTTCTTTAATCTTTCCCTCTCTTCCTGTAACAACAACATCAAATATAAATTACGATACTAATTCGCTACCTTGCTTTTCCTGGCCAAGCCTTCCTTTTCTTTCCTCAGTGTGGCCATATTGTCTTTAAATTCCTCTAATTCGTCCAGTAACAGTTGTTTATCTTTTGCATGCTCCTCCTCCTTCTCTTCCAGCTCCACCTAAAAATTTAAAAGTCTTTATTTTCCCAAGTGATGAATATCAACAGACTAGCCTTTAGTCTATGAATACACTTGTCATACTCATCTTCACGTTCATCTTGAACCTTTTCTATCTCGAGCAGTTTATTATAATTGACTTTAAACGCATCCTTTAAAGCTACCAACTCCTCGTAAAGGTTACCCTCGTCATCTTCTGGTTGTACGGCTTCCATCAAAGCACGGTCTTCTTTCAATTCTTCTATAGCTCTTAGTTGAACGGTGTGGACGAGTTTCTGAGCTATTAATCTTCTCTTAAGCTCTTCTATATCTCTTTCTTGGCTTTCCAGAGCTTCCTCGAGTCCGCCATTGGTTTCTTTTCCCCGCCATTTTCTTTCTACTTCAAAGGCAACGTCCTCGTCGCCATCTTTTCGCTTTTCCTCACTGTTCATACCAGTAGCGGTTCCTCTAGAGAATGAAACAACAATCAGCAGCAGGTTGAAAAGATTTAAATGTCTCACCTCGTCTCTAGAGTCTAAAAAACAAAAAATTAAAAATGTAGTATACGGAAAGTATGCAGGCAAAGCAAAATTATTAATTGTACAACCGTATACTATATAGTACACTCTTGTAATCCTAAAAATTCCATTGGGTGGAGCTCACTGCAGTCTAATTTCATTCTAGGTGCTAATTGAGAAGCACTTTTTACACCTGAGGCTGCTAGTATTTTTGCACCATAGCTTTAAAAAGGAAAAAATAAACAAAACAGTCTCCTAAGCATTCAAATAATAATAATAATAATGATCATGATTTCTTAGTTCTCGCTGTTATAAGTACCAGTTGAAGTGTTTGGCTCTTCGGAATTAAAACTACACATGGCTCCCTCTCTCCTCTTAAATTTCTTCTCTATTTTATCAAGATCACAGCTCAGTCGTTCCCTCTGCTCCAACAGCTCCTTCTCGTACTTATTCTTTTCGTAAAGGAGCTCCTCCACTCTCTGCTTCTCCAATAGACGTCTCTCAAGCTCCGTTCTATGGTAAGTAAGGTCTTTCTCTATTATTTCCTTCTCCCGTAGCTTTTGTATTAAGGACTGTCTTGATTTAGCCAAGGATTTCTCCAGCCCTCCTCTTTCGCTTGAGAGTGTGTTTAATCTATTCTCAATCCTCTGCATTGCTTGTATCTTCCTTTGGAGTGAGAGCTGCTTTGTTTCAGCCTCATTCAGTCGTTCTTGATACTCTCTCTTTATTTCGGCATTTGCTTCTTCGCGTAGCTTTAGCTTCTCTTGTAGGTCGGATATCAATAGACTTTGATCTTCAACAAGAGGCTATTAAAACAATGGAATGTAACTTATAACGTTACAATTTAATATACATGTACATCTATGCTTTGCTGTTTCTGAATTTCATATTCATTTAGGATGTACATGTACATATGTAAAGACATAGAAATGCTCCCACTAACATGCATGTGCATGTACATGTACAAGTCTCACCAATTTCTCTTGTAATTGTGTCCTAAGGTTATCCAACTGGTCCTGGTACTCTCTTATCCTTAGCTCTAAAGTACTGTTAGTCTGATCCAGTACTCCATTAGCTGCTGTTAGCTCTCGTATCTTATCTTGTGCGGATTCAATTTGCTTGTTAGCTGCAGTGAGGCTTGTCTTCAATTCTTCAATGAGTGTCTCCATCTCTTGTAGCTGACTGCTCTTGGTCTCCAGGTCTTTCTTGAGTTTGTTTGCTTTCTTCTTGTGCACTTTCTCTTTCTCTTCCCAAGTTTCCCTTTCGTTTGTCAGAGCTTTCTCCTTGTCTTGTAGCTTTGCCTGAAGCGTTGCTTCTTCTGCTGACCACTCCTCTTTCAGCAAATCGCACCTTTCCTTAGCCTCTGCTAACTGGGCATGTACTTTCACTAATTTGTCGGATTCATTATTTGCATGGGCGTTTCTCTCTCCTTCGAGCTCTTGGGTCAGCTCATTGAGTTTCAGCTGTAGAGAGCTCACTCGGCACGTCTGAGTAGCAATCTCGTCTTCTTTCTCTTGAACGATGCCGTCGTAATTTTCCTTTAATTTCTCATTTGTCGATTTCAGTTCGTTGATCTCTACCTCAAGCTGAGCGGCGTTCACCTTTAACGAATTGATTTCTGATTCCCGTGTTGTTTCCTTTTCTCTTAACTCGCTCTCGAGCAAGCTTAGCGAAACACGAGACGACTTCAAATCCTTCTCGGTGTTGTGGAGCTTCTCTTGAAGGACTCTGCTGTCCTGATATTCTCTTTCTAACTGCTGGCATTTCGTCTCCAGTTCCATTACCTTCATCTTTGTTGTGGCCAGCTCTTCCTGGCTCGTTGAAGAGAGACTGCTCTTGAGTGCTTCAAGGTCCCTTTTGTTCTTCTCTTTCAATTCCTCCAATTCGGTCTCTTTCTCTATCTGTAGAGTCCTTCTTACTCTCTCTAGTTCTTCGTCGTGGTTTGCAATCAGAGTATTCTTAGCATCAGCAATCTCTTCGTTATGTGATTGTCTAAGTTTAGCAATAGTAGCAGTGTGGTCTGCTTCATCCTGGGCTGCCTTGGCTTTTATTGATAACAAAGACTCCTCCAATTCACCTTTCTCAGTGCGTAGTTGATCCAGCAATGACGTCAGATCATTAATCTTAAGATCTCTCTCGTTTTCACTCTGAGATCTTTCATCTTGTAATTGAGCAAGTATCCTCGCATGCTCTTCTCTCAGTCTCTCCATCTCTTGATTTTTCTCTTGTTCTAGCCTCTCCAGTTGGCTCTTATAACTCATCTCTTGATTACGGTAGGCGTTTAACTGAGTCTGAAGCTCATTCATGTGTTTCACGGCAAAGTCCAGGCTCGCCTGAGACTTGTCGGCAGTCTCAGAAATGCTTTCCTCGAGTTGACTGACTTCAGTCGATTTCTCTACTTCTAACTGACTGATCTGTGTAGAGTGCTCCTCCTCCAACTGCTTGACAATTTCATCATGTCTAGCGGTCATTATTTCCTTTTCTTCTTGAAACGACTTCTCTCTTTCCCTCAGTCTTGTTTCTAGCTGAGATACTGATTCTTCTAATCTCTCCCTCAGCTCTTCTTTCTCTCTTTCCAGTCTCTTGATGTCTTCGCTATGAGAGGAGGCTTCTCTTTCGATTTCCTTCTCTAGTTGTTTAATGGTGTCATCTTTGGCTAGTAGCATTTCCGTATGATCGACAGTTTCTTGCTGAAGCCTTGACTCCAGCCCGGAGGCTTTCTCTTTCCAATTATGCAGCATTTTCTCAAGATCAAGCGAATCATTTCTCTCCCTCTCTAGGGCAGACACGGTGCCTCTCAGCTCCATGGACTCTTTCAGTGATTCTTTCAGCTTCTTTTCAATTTCTTCTTTCTCTTTGCTTAGATTAGAATGAGCTGCTACATATTGATTGTGGTATTGTTTTATTTGTTCGTTAGCGACTGCCTCCAACTGCTTCCTGTTTTTCTCTGTCGTTTCGGCAAAGCTAGCTTCAAGCTGTGCCTTCTCTCTCTCAAACTCTTCTCTCAGCATCTCTTTCTCTTTCTGAGCTGATAACAACATGTTCTCTTTTTCCTTCTCATGCATTTCTTCGAGTGTTGTCTTCAGTTGTTTGATGCGTGTTGCCTCAAGTTCTCCTTCGTCTAGTTGCCGTTGCTCCTGTTGGTCTAAGAACTGCTCTGAAAGTCGATTAACATGCTGCAAATGATTCTCTCTTTCTTTCTCCATCAACTCGTTGTGCTCCTTCTCTTTGGCTTCAAGAGCCGACGCCATTTCCGACTGAAACTGCCTCTGCATGTCACTAGCCTCCTTCTCCTTAGCTGCCAAAGACTCCTGAGACGAGAGAAGGGTTTTCTGAAGAGACGCTAGCTGGGTCTTAAAATGATTGAGAGACATTTGAGCTCCATCTTTCTCTGCTCTACATCTCTCAAGCTCCTTCTCCAGCGACTCCTTCTCGGCTAATAGCTGATCAATAGACGTGTGGTTCGAGATGTGATTCAACGACTGGATAGTACTGGCGGCAGTGTTATTGACATGATTGTGAGGAGAATCAGTGGACTCCATGAGGGCAGACTGAGACGTATCCTGGAAAAAATTAATAATAAAGAGTGGGTGTGGTTTTAATTAAACTCACATAGTCGACATCCAGTGTGTCCATTAGTACAGACTGCTCATCCCCAGTGGTGGTATTCGACTTATTTACTTTCTTTTTACTCTTCTTCTTTTTTTGAAAAGCAAGCAACTGTATAAACAAACAAATAAAATATATAATACATAAATAATAATAATAGCAACAAAAACAAACAAAAGCACTTACAGCATCTTTTCCAGCTTGTACTTTGCTCTTCCTTTCTTCTTCCTCCATTTTAATAATCCAAGAGAGGCTTTTTACCACTTATTTGCAAACACAAAGCCTCATAATTGTATGGTAGGTGTGGAAAGGGTGGAGTTTATAAAAGTATACGGAAATCCGATTCATTAAAGTATACGGAATTTTTATCACGCATGCGCAGTACATTTTGTACGCCCACGCAGAAAAGTAGGCGTGTTTTTATTTATAAACCACACCCATCACAATCACGTGATTTACTATCAAAATGGCTGGATTCACTGAAGGAGTTGAGTCGATTCCCCACATAACAGAGAGAGCAAAGACGGGAGGCGCCCTGCCACTCAAGTACGAGTTCTCCCGTCCTTTCTTTCTGGAACTGACGAAGGAGCAATTTGACACATCCAAAGACCACGGGCAGAGATTAGTCCTAACTCCATCAAATTATTCCAAGATGCCTTGGCAGGCTGGCTATGCTGAGGCCATCAATTCTGGGAAGAGCATTTACGTCAATGAGGACCAGGCCTCGGTCCATGTCTCTGCTCTCTGTCTTCATGATTCTGAGAAGGACACGTCCATAACGCTACCATACGTCATGTTTGGGATTTTCGATGGTCACGCTGGTACGGGGGCGGCTACCATGGCAACGCACAATCTGCACAAACACATGAAAGAGAAACTGAATGGGATCAAGCACTTCCTTGTGCAGGACTCGGCTGAAGTGATAGCCGAAGACGACCCAGGTCTAGGCTGTATCACGGAGCCGATCCCAAAGGAATTACTAGTAATTGGTGCATTAGAGGAAGCTTTTGTAGTTATGGACGAGCAAATAAGAGCAGAGAGGAACACGTACCTTATAAAAGGAGGATGCACAGCCATAGTGTCCTTATTCCTACAGAATAAACTGTACATAGCCAATGCAGGGGACTGTAGGGCCATCCTCCTGTTGGATCATTGCTCTAGGATACATCCTCTATCCACTGATTTCACACCTGAGACCGACAGACAACGACTTCAGAAGCTAGCCTACCTTCAGCCTCAGCTTTTAGGCAGATACTTTGGACGGCTAGAGTACCAAAGGAGGCTTAGGAAGAAGGATATTGGACAGAGGGTTCTGTATCGCGACAGACAAATGACTGGCTGGGCCTATCGCACTGTTAACGAAGAAGATGTGAATCAAGTACCTATGATTATTGGCCACGGGAAGAGAGCAAGACTAATGGCCACTATTGGTACCACTAGAGGATTTGGTGATCACGATCTTGAAGCACCTGGCGGCCAATTCATAAAACCTTTACTAACGCCAGTCCCTGAAGTAAGAGTTTGGGATCTTAACAGCTATGAGCATCAGTATGATGATATACTAATAGTAGCATCTGACGGACTTTGGGAGAGACTCACCAACGAAGAAGCACTGGAGATAGTGAAGGAACTAGCAGAAGTGACTCCTCGTGATGACAAGTATTATACCACGATAGCTAGGGAGCTGGTCCTTGCTGCTAGGGGCCAGTTTGGCAAGAAAGGTTGGAGGACAGCTAAAGAACAGAGCGCTAGCTGCGATGACATTTCCTGCTTTGTTGTCCCTCTCCATACTTATGCCACTTCGCCTAGTCCTGGTTGTCTTGGTGAAGAGGACATGATGGGAGGCGACTCCATTGATCCTGTAAGATATGGGTCTGGTGCAGATTCCAACGATATCCACAGTGTACAATAATAGTTATAGTATTATTAATAATAACTGACACTGCTTCAATACTGAGTGAGTGTGTACGTACGTGTGTATATTATCTCTTATGTGTTTTATAATTTTTAATATAAGGCGTGATTTTAAAGGATACTCTTTTAATTACAATCGTTTTACAATGATGATTCTTGATGTTTAAGTAGTTTTATTTAAATTATTCATGAAGCCGCACCATTGTTATGGCCGCACCTTCTTTTTATTCGTACCAGCCACACCCATCCATTCGTATGGTGGTGGTAGCTATGCGCTTGCTACCATTCCGTCTCTCTGGAGTTGCTCGCCTGATTCTCTATCTCGCCTGCTTTTCTGTCTTTATTGTCATCTCCTTTGGCGTTTTTGTGTTTCATGTTTCTTCTACACCCTCAGATGACAACACCTGGAAGAGAGTCAGACAGGAGCTACCCTTATCCTTATCCTCCCCCTCTGGCTCACTCTCTTCTTCCTCCCCTCTCGTTAAAGCTCTCACCTTCAACGAGACGACTGCTCCTTCTACTCCTTCCTCTCCATCTCTGACTACAGTAGTCTCCTCTCTTTTTGCTTCCTCTCTCTCTTCTTCCCTTCCTCCCTCCAGCATATATCTAAAAGGTCTACAGAATTTCTCACAATCTGAAGTGAATCCAGTCAACAGCTGGCCTGAAGGTGAATTTTGCGATCAGTTCCTCTCTAACAAGTTCCCGGTACATTTCAGTGTATGCAGCGACAATGATAGGATCCAGTGTTCCGGGACGACGCTTGATGACAAGATGGGATCCTGCACGACTAAAAGAGTTGCCATAAACATCCCTGAGTTTTATAAAGTCATGAAGACCAAGCGTGACTCTGTAGAGAATTCCAACACGATGTGGCTCGTACAGGACAACGAGGACTCCATCCCTTGTCCCAAGTACGACTTTAAATTGTTAGACAAGCACATGTTTGGAGGAGATTATTTGAAGAGGTTGGCAAAGACATCTGTCCTCTCTCACTCCCAGTCTGAGTGCCAGGGATGGATCAACGGTACCACATTCCTTTTCGTCGGATTCGATGTTCATATTTATTTCAAATTCCTGTCCTGGTTCAGTCTCTATAATGGGATACTCAACGACAGTCCTTCAAACAGACCCCCTTCTCTTATTTTAAGGATACCCGAGACTAGAGGAAACTTTTTATTTCCCGAGTTTGAGCATGATCTATTTCCAGAGACTAATGTGTATGGTTTAAGTGAGTTAGCAGCCGAAAATGTCGGAACACTTTGTTTTGAAAGAATCGTAACCACTCCCTGGGCCTTTGGGACAACGGCCTTTAGATGCAAGATGGCTGACGCCATCGTCAAACTCAGAAAGAAATGCTATAGCTGTAATTCCCGGGATCTTCCTGGAGCAAGATACCGACAGTTCCGTAAGAGAGTCCTCAGGGCTTGTTCCTTAACAGACGACCCGGTACCATACACGGAAAAAACTCCTCGGAGGATCGTACTCCAAATAAGGAAGCCCTACAGTAGATTTGAAGGGGAGGCTGCCACTAAGATCAGTCGTATATTAGAAAACTCTAATAAGCTGGCAGAGGCCCTGCGAGCGGGTTTTCCAAAAGCTAATGTAACTGTTATGCACGGCGAAGACCTTGGATTGTGCGAGCAGATATCACTTGTTCACAAAGCTGATGTTTTAATGGGAGTCCATGGAGCTGGTCTGGTCCATTCGTGGTGGCTTCAAGACCATGCTCTTTTATTTGAGCTGGTACCGAGATCACAGCTGTCTAATCCAACTTTTAAAATGTTAACAACGTTGTCAGGTCGTCGGTATTATAGCTACACTAGTGTAAAGGGTGGAGACAAGAGGGTTACTGTCGATGAACAGGACATTGTGAAGAGATTAAAATCAGAATATTGAGCAAGTGTGATAGAGGGGATTTACTTTTATTTATACAATAATTATAACAATGATAATGATGTAAATCAGACGGGTTTTATTATTATTGTTGTATCGACGCTTATATCAATAAAAATTACGTTAAAAGAACATTGTTAGTTTTTAATTATTCATAGTCTGGTGCTTTGACATCAAGCCTTCATTCATAATGACCTGAAACAAAATAATAATAAAATGTGACTTTCTTTATGTTTACATGATGGAGTTCTTATAAGGAAAGCAAAAATTATCATTATTTATACAGTCTGATTGTCACTTTAGTATTGTACACCCCCAAGTACAAATAGCATGAATTTTTTTATAATAACCACTAAAATAATATTGTATATGCACATACATGTACCTGTGAGTCCTCCCCTTCTCCTGATAGACAGGACAGCAGCTCATCATCGATCACATTATAATACGGCAGAGATGGATCAACTGATAATTGTATGTACTCGGCTTCGTTACTCAGTAAAGAATCAAACTTGACCTTCAGCTCACAGAAGGATGGCCTTTCTTTGGCATTAATCAACCAGCAAAGGGTCATTATGTTATATCTACAAGAGATCATACAATAAAGGTCGGATAAAATGACCCTCTCTCTCTCTTTCTTTTCATTACATTTCTTGGCTGCAATTTTGCGGTTTTTCTAATCTATTCCCATCCAGCAGATGACTCAATATGTTACTGTTACTGACAGTAGGGTATGGAAAACCACCTAACAAATCATAATAATTATAATAAGACACCTAATAATTAATCCTTCATTCATTACCAAGTGTGACTATTTCCCAGAGGGTCACTCCGTAAGACCACACGTCAGACTTAAATGAAAACTCTCTTTCAGTGAGAGACTCAATTGCCATCCATTTCCAGGGGAGGCGCCCTCTGGTCTTCTTCACGTAGGCTTCGTCGGCTCCTCCGACTTTTCTAGACATTCCAAAATCGGATATTCTCAGGTTTTTGTCAGCATCAATGAGGACATTACGACAAGCAAGGTCACGATGAATGATACCAATGCTAGAGAGATACTCCTAAGATAATAAAAGAGAGAGAGAGAAGGATAATGAAGGTAGAGGTAGAGGCATGCATAAAGTTTGTGTTTGCTGTGGGTTACCATTCCAGAAGCTATTTGATAACCGAAACTGAAAAGATCAGAATGAGACACATCTCCGATATTGTAGTACATACTATCCTGCTCACCCCCACTCGTGTTAGCCTATATAGTCATAACAATAGTAAGTAAACTATTGTACTATAGATAATAGTAGAGTAATATACTATAGAATCAGGGGCTTCTGACATAACCAATGATGGCATAGTACATGTACATATTATACTGACCAGTTGGTTTTGCCTTATATACTGTAGGAATTTCAATAGATCTCCGTGTTTAATGATTGTCATGCAGAGCTGTATCGGCTCCTGTATGGTGACACAACCTATCATGTTAACAATGTGGAGGTGGTTCCCTTCGCTTATTAGCTTCATCAGCTCTATCTCGTTCAGTAGATCGGCTCTCTCTGTCCTGTTTGCCATTTCTAATACATAAATAATAAAATCGTGTCATGATAAATCAAATTCCTTGCAGATGAGTGATTTTTTTAAAATAGTGGGAGATAAGGAGAGAGAAAGAGAGAGAGCCTTACTAACTTTTATTCATTTTTACAGCCACAGGTATGCTCGCACTCTTCCTTACATCTGATGGGAGTCTTGCATTGTTCAATGGTCCACATATATATCCCTTATGCACCGTGCCAAATGCTCCTTCACTCAATTGACTCTCCAGTATTATTTTGACTGGCTCTATTTCCCATGCATCTCTTAGGATACTATAGTTACTGTTGATAGCATGACTGTTAGTGCCGCCATCGGTCGGACTGTTCATTGGTAGCCAATCGCTGCCATTATTAAACTAAGAGATTCAAAATAAAATTCATACAAGAGTTATGAAATTTGATTCAACGTACGTCAAATGATTTCCTAAATTTTCTTTGTTTGCAGTAAAGGAAGCAGCAGAATAGTAATAATATGAACAAGATGATAATGATTATGATCAGTAATGCTCCTCCGGCTGCAGCAACTGGGACTACATACACTGGCAATGTGGAGTCCTCCGTAACAGCTACAGTATATCGTGACTCATAATTCATTGTTGCTCATATACTTACTTTCAGTTCCATTGGTGGTAGGACTATCAGTAGTAGTTTCATTGATGCACATTGCATTATCTTTATTTATAATCACAAAGTCACTCCATTCGCTTGTGTTTTGCCCATTGCTTGATCTTACCTAGAGTAGGAAAATGATGACAATGAATTATTAAGAAGAATATATGTAGCTTACTTGTGCATAAAAACATGAGATTGATGTAGGAAATATATTTGGTCTATTTATATCAAGACTGTTTTCTTCCTATAATAATACAGTACAAATATTAGAGCTGTATAAAATATATTAAAAATTTTAAATATAACTTTAATTAAAAACAGGCTAATTTCTGAAAATACCCCATAGCCCATGGGTTTTTTTTTTCCAAAAAATAAGTCCAAAATCACCCCAAATTTTTATTACATTTTCTGATACATATTGATGTTCTTATGCTATGTAGAAAGTTTGAGCCAATTCCAGCTTTAATTTTTTGAGTTATGGCCATTTTAAAAAATGGGCAAACTTTTGAAAAATACCCTAGCCCATGGTTTTTTCCAAAAAATGGCTCCGAAATCACCCCACATTTTTATTACATTTTCTGATACATATTGATGTCCTTATGCTATGTAGAAAGTTTGAGCTGTTTCCGGCTTTAATTTTTCAAGTTATGGCCATTTAAAAAAATGGGTCAATTTCTGAAAAATACCCTGTACTATAGCCCATGGTTTTTTCTGAAAAATGGCTCCGAAATCACCCCACATTTTTATTACATTTTCTGATACATATTGATGTCCTTATGCTATGTAGAAAGTTTGAGCCAATTCCTGCTTTAATTTTTTGAGTTATGGCCATTTAAAAAAATGGGCCAATTTCTAAAAAATACCCTGTACTATAGCCCATGGTTTTTTCCGAAAAATGACTTCAAAATCACCCCAAATTTTTATTACATTTTCTGATACATATTGACGTCCTTAAGCTGTGTAGAAAGCTTGAGCCAATTCCAACTTTAATTTTTAGAGTTATGGCTATTTTAAAAAATGGGCCAATTTCTGAAAAATACCCTGTACTATAGCCCATGGTTTTTTCCAAAAAATGGCTCCGAAATCATCCCACATTTTTATTACATTTTCTAATACATATTGATGTCCTTATGCTATGTAGAATTTTTGAGCCGATTCCAACTTAAATTTTTTAAGTTATGGCTATTTTTTTTAATGGGCCAATTTCTGAAAAATACCCTGTACTATAGCCCATGGTTTTTTCCAAAAATGGGTCCAAAATCACCCCAAATTTTTTTTACATTTTCTGATACACATTGATGTTCTTATGCTCTGTATAAAATTTGAGCCAATTCCGACTTTAATTTTTCAAGTCACAAGAGCTTACTGAGTACCAACTTACCCCAGTAGTAGTCTCTACTGTTATCCTGGTAGTGTTGCTAGCAGTTTCATTGTCATTCAATGGCTCTGCAGTAATAACTATTGTATAATTTGTCAACGCTCCGTACGTTAAGACAGGAGTAGACCATGATAGACTTATATTGAATAAAAAATCTGTCACTGAGTGGATTGTGATATTCTCAATTTCATTGACTGATGGTCGGTTTGACCTTGTATTCAAGACACAGGTGGTCTGCTCTGGTAGCAATCGCCAAAAAATACTAAAATTACTGAAGTATTGCAACTATAAATAGAGGAAAAAATAATAATAAAATTATTATTATTATTATTATTATTATAAAAGAGGGAGAGGGGGAATCACAAAAAGAAACAATTATTATTATTATTATTATCACTAATATTATATTATTATTATTATTATTATTATTATTATTATTATTATTATTATTATTATTATCAATTCTTACTCTAACTCTGAGACGGTCATGAAGTGCTATATTTGGAGAGAAGACATATTGAGTCTGATACTCAGTACAATTATTATCAACCTACAGTGAGATGGTACAATTTACAAAAGGAGTTCATTAATAAAAAGAGATCAACCTTCATACCATTAATTCCTTACCTTTGGTATGCGTCTAAATCTCGTCCGGCTAGACTCAGCTCCTACTTCTAAAAACTCCCTCCAAGTAATAAATTGTATAATTCTTTCCATGAGAAAAGCATCACAAGGCTCAATAGTCCACCTTATTGTGGCTGTGATTACACCAGTAGTGACGTTTTGGTTTCTGTGGCAGCTAAGGTTTGCTACTGGGGGAGGTCCAGACTCTCTTGATACGTCTAAGGGAGCGAATGGAATGTCATATCGACTGTCGGATGGTTCGGAATGTATCTGTAAAATATACCAGTAATAGCAACAATGCATAATAACAATAGATAATAATGATAATGATAATAGTAATAATAATGCATTGTTACCCTATAAAAATAGAAGCATTGGAAAATTGGAAGAGACATAGGAACACTAGATATAATCAAGTGACTGGTTTCATTCTAAATAAGAGAGGAAGGAAGAATGAGAATGACAATGAACTGCATACATAGTTATATACCTTAGTAACATTGTAATTAAACTGTCCTACTCCACCACATTCTGGCAATACAGAGAATATCGTAATCTGGTAATACTCCAAATGCTCAAGGTTATCTGAATCAAAAGAAAGGGGGAGAAAGAGAAGATGGTAATAGCTTAATTGTCACACACTCCTTAAACTCATTACTGGTTGGCTTGCTCCAGCTGAAATTTAACATTGCATGTTTAAAGAATCCTTCCCTCCGGTCCTCCTTTATGGTTATACTAATTGAACCAGGATGAGATGCAAAGCGTGTTTCTAAAATAAAAAACAAAATTAATTAATAAAATTAATGATTTCATATTAAATTAACTTGCCTCCATAGACATGAATACCAAGTGGCCTAGAGTAGGATGAAATACCTCTTGCTGTTACTATGGCAATGGAGACGTTGACAGCTTGACAGGCAAAGGAGGTAAGATTAGCCGAATTAAGACTTTCCTAAACAAGCAAACAAACAAACAAGTAGTATAGCTATTTAATTAGAGTAAACCAACAACTGAGGCAGAGGGAGTTTAATAAAGTGTGAGAGTGAGAGAGTGTTAACCTGCCACTGATAGTAGGTTAATTGTTTTGATTTTATTTGGAGGAGGACAGTTGTGGCTGATTGTCCTATTATGGAGTCATTAATTGACTTTAAATTAATATTATATCCTCCTCCTTCAATGGAGTTGGTCGTTATGAAGGAAGGATGATCAGTTGGATTAACTGGTAATGACGACTCTAATGATTAACAGGATTGAGAGAGAGAGGGAGGGAGGGAGAGAAAGCATTATAACAGTATTACTTTGAGTTCCTACTAACCTTCTGCTAGAGAGCTAAACAACCGACAGCCTCTCTCACATGGACTGTATTTCTATTGATAATAATAATAATACTTATTATTAATATAGAGACTATTATACTTACGCATTTTCTATTACAGCTGCTTCCATCTCCCATGGGGCACTGTATATTTCCATTACACTCATCCTTACAACTAGTAACCTAAAGATGATGCAGGAATTTAAAAGTATCAATTGGCTGCTATTTTTCTTACACAATGGTCAGTGCAAATGTAATCAGCAATAAATGGACTCTTTAGTTTCTCTACACAACCAATGAAGCACTGCTTAATCTGATGACAAGAAAACTAATGATCAATAATAACAGCAACTATAACTCACTAGATTTTTTGTTGAACAATTTTGTGTAGACACATCAAGAAAAGGCCACACAGTATTCTGATGCAATACATAAATAAATAATTATTAATAAACACGAGCCTACCCATTACTTACCAATGCCCTCACTGCATCGATTGCATACTATAAAAAATGATAAAAAATAATATCAACAATCAATCTACACTTATTTCCTCCTTTACTTCATCAACACATTTTGCATGACATCTTGCTCTATCAACAGCTTCTCTCTCCGAGGTGAATGGCTCAACAACGTTGTGAGTAAATGTATTGCATTGAATGTTACTGAGCAACAAGGGCTCACTCCAAACATTGAAGCGTGTATCATCCACACACCTGCTGTTTATCCCTCTTATCTAAAAATAGTAAAAGCAAACTGTTTATTCCTCTTATCTAAAACTGTTTATTCCTCTTATCTCTAAAATAGTAAAAGGAAACATTATTATAGACCACGCTTTATTGACCATAAATGGCTTTACTACCAAACTGCATCATCATGCAATATGTTTTGCAAGAGAGTGTAAAGTGGTTTTTTAAGTAGTAAATATGAGGCACACGTTGTGTCAACTTATTTGTAAATATATACCATAAATCATAGCTTACTATATACTCTTGCTAGCACTAATGCAACTTCTAATGGTGCACACATACTATTATGTCACTAGTTGACTCAGGGGTGCTTTGTGCATGCAAATTTATCAAGCAAGGAGGTCAAAGTAGGGGATTTGAAAATAGCAAACACAGACAATAAATATTACTTGAATGTATAGTGGCTCGGATACACTTGTGAGTGTAAAGGATCCATTGATGAATGGTTCGGTAAGAAAAGGCTGAGGACGAAAAAGAGATTAAATCAAGAAGACAAATGAAAAGAGTACTTACAAGAGATAGAACAGTTTGGAGATGCCTGTTAATGACTCTAGCGTCATATCTCTTGATGGTGTCATTCGCATGCGGAATGTGATTCCAGCTAACGGATAAGTCGATTGTTGTACCAAACAAACTGAATCTTGACAATGACACATCAGCCAATACCAAATTGGTAGGCACTGCAAATAATTAGAGGTCATAAATATAATAAAACCATGCATGCTGCAACAACATAATATAGGCTTGCATATTTCAACCAAAACAGCATGCACTTGCATGCACTTACATGTTGTGTGAAACTGAATGGTAGCATTTTCACCATCAGGGTAAGAAGTGAGCTATAATAAGAAATGAAGTCATTTATTATTGTTATCATTACTTACAGTAAATCTATAATCACAATTGTATGATATGCTGTCATTTCTTTCTATATCAAAAGATGTTTCATCCTACAAAAGCAATAAAAAACTGCTAATATCAAATATTCTATAATTAATACTTCATCAATTATGTATGATAGATTTGTTCCTGCACAGTCTCCAAGAGACACTAGCTCTCCAATGTAATGGCTGGTATTTGACTCTAAAATCACCAATAAAAATCATATAATCTATGAGTATTGCAAAACCTCACCATTGGTTGTAGTGCCAGTCCATTCGAATGACAAACGAGGATAGCAGTCAACATTATTGGATTCAATAGTAACAGACAATTCAAAACTGCTCACAAAAACTAATGGAGACAATAATACTAACAAAGATAGAGTGAGCATCATCGTGACCTCTTTTTACTGACTCTATGCTTGCAAATTGGAAGCTTATATAGCTTCACCATGCAGGATAATTACTAATTGAGTTACTCCACGAAGCATTAGAATCTAAACAAGTTCGAACTTAATTAGACAGTGTGTTGGTATAAGGCTGCAAGCAACCAACGCACATGTTTAAACAAGGCTGTCACTGGTGTACACATCGCAATGACATACCACAAAACAGAATCTTGACAAGTACGGGGGTAATTTGATCACTGCTAATTTATAGTTGGGAAGAGATGCTACCCACTATGAAGGATTTTATAGGCTTTAATATAATATTCCTGTCACTTTGAGGATGTTTTATATTTTAGTAACTCAAGAGTATCTGTGATTGCATGGAGGGGTATTCTCATCCTTTATGAAGGGAAAACCTTTAAAAAAGCAAACAAACAGAGAACCACAAAGAAAACCACATTACACAATAACAATAGCAAAAATAAAAATAGCAATAATAATGAAAGTAACAAAAGCAATACTAATAATATAATACTGAAATATGCTGACACACCTCAAGACACACTTGGAGTCAACAATCAGAGAATAATAAAAAATCATTATTATCACTATGATGTAATATATATATATATATATATACAGTATAATATAGTTAATGTCAGAGGGCAATGATTACTGTACTGGATTTAAGAAGGCGTGAACGAACAATTAAATGAAGACAGTTAGTATCACTCCTTGTGAGCATCCTGTTTGGAGTGTGTGGGCGATGAAGGAGTGCTGGCTGACACTCTTATCACAGGAACAACACTGCTCCCACTCTTTCCACCTCCTCCCACTCTCCCTACTCCTCCTGTTTTTCCTGCCGGCTCATCAACGTAAGGATTCTCTTTAGCGCCATCCCATAGAGCAAGGCTGATTGGTCGCCTAGGAGATGGTATGAGTCGTATCGGGGAAGGCTTTGGCGTGGCTCTAGGCGAGAGATAAAGTGAAGACGTTTCATGAGGTTTGGCTGAACCGTTTGGAAACACATGGAGAGGAGACGAGGATGGAGGAGGAGAGAGCGAAGAGCGTCCAGAGGTTGTTTCAATCTCAAGAAACAAAGGATTTGAGGCCTAAAAAAGAAAAATAAGAATTTTTTAAAACTAATAAATAAAAATAAAAATAAAAAAATATAAAAAATCTTCCTTACTCTCAATGGATCGTTCTCATTAGCAGAGCTGCTGAGGCTGGTATTTGAATTGGACGACCCTCTCTTCATCTTATTCATTTGCTCCTCCTCTTCCTCTTCTGGTGGTGCAGTGTAGATATCGTTACCCTCATCCGTCCTTAGATCAATGTAAGCATTGGACTGCTGGGCACTCAGGAGCTTGTCAACTTTTTGACGCAACACGGAAAACGTGGGTCTCTTAAGAGGAGACTCGTTCCAACACTCAAGCATTATATCATAACTGTATAGAGAGAGGGGGGGAATGATTTTATAAGTGAATATAATTTCTTGTGCCTTACATTTCTTTTGAACAGTTATCAGGGCACTCCATCCTGTATCCTTGCTTCAGCCTTATCAACAACTCATCATTACCAACAGTGGGATAAGGAAAACCCCCTAATGATGATAATAACGATAATAATAATAATCTATGATGTCATTGTCACTATCAACCCACTCACCTAGAGTACCAATCTCCCACAATGTCACACCGTACGCCCACACGTCAGAAGCACTAGTAAATTCACGATCAGTTATTGACTCAATTGCCATCCATTTCAAAGGGAGTTTTCCTTTTGTTGACTTGACGTACGTGTCACCAGCTTGGACCATTCTTGACATCCCGTAGTCCGATATTTTGAGGTTCTTAGAATCACCAATGAGGACGTTACGACAAGCCAAATCACGATGTACTATGTCGAGGCTTGATAAGAATTCCTAAGGAAGGAAGAAAAGGGCTAGTTATTGAGCTATTGCTATACTGTACCATTCCGGTTGCTATCTGGTAAGCAAATGAAAGAAGATCTGAAGATTGCAACTCTCCAAGATCAGGATATGGATTAACTTTATCTTCAGGAATCTGTTAAATATTCCAAGAAAGAATTTAAAAAATTTAATGGCCACTTGTTCCTTACTCTTTTCCTAGTAGCCCTCAGGTAGGAGAGAAGATCTCCGTGTTTAACAAACTCAGTGATGAGGCAGAGTGGCTCCTGTGCTGTAACACAACCCACCATATTGACAACGTGTGAATTGTGCCCTTGACTTATTTGTTTCATCAATTCTATTTCATTTAAGAAATCTTTCTTCTCACTCCCAGTGGCCGAAGCTATAGTGGAAGACAAAAAACTAAAACAAATCGTTCTCTCTCTCTTTCTCACGTTTCAATAATTTCACAGCAACACTGCTGGAATACGTCTCTTTGAGTATTTTTCTGGTGTGAGGCGTGACCGTAGGATCAGTTAGCATTCCTCTGTATACCTCTCCAAATTCACCTTGTCCTATCTCACACTCCAATATAACCTGAAATAATAATATAATGAATTATATAACTAAAGCTATAATTATATCAGGGTTTCCTAGACAAGGCATGCTAAGTGAGTTAAACAGCATTGAGTTTACAAATAATAATTTTCCCTGAAAGAATAATTTCTCCCAAAAATACATTTGAATCATTGTGTGCTTATGCTATAATATACCATTGCAGCTGGTATTTCCCAGTCATCATGAAGGACAGCATTCTCTGTCAATGATATAAAATTAACTGTAGTCCTTGGACCCATTTGATGGAAAATAGGATCACTAAATATATCCTATAATAAATCAATTAATAAAAGGTGTGAGGCATAGGTGTCAGTAATGATGTACCTCTTGGATAAATTCTAGTCTTCTCTTTCGTCGTCTCATTTGCCAGAACAGACAAAGGACAAACAATGAGCAAATTAATAATAATATGAGTACAATTCCAAATCCAAGCCCAGTTGTTGCTGCAGGGCTAAGTCTACCGGTGCCTAAAATAATGATAAATATAGTAATAATAATAATAATATAAATGAACAAAATAAATTCTTGTTCACATTATGATGAATAAGTGCATACTAGATGAAGTAGAGGTTGGTTTAGTGACAGTAATAGCTGATGAAGTTGTGCTGGCTACAGTACTAGCTGCAGTACTGACTGCAGTATTCCATGCAGTACTAGCTGGAATATTCCCTGCAGTATTTTCTGCAGTATTTGTCCCTGCAGTATTGCTTGCAGTATTCTCTGCAGTATTTGTCCCTGCAGTAGTGGCTGCAGTATTGCTTGCAGTATTCCCTGGAGTAGTGGCTGAAGTGATGGCTGCAGTAATGGATGGTAGCATTGTCTCAATGGTTGATGGGAGACACTCTTCATCTAACGGTATCAACAATGGGACGCTCCAATTACCACCTCTGAATCCATTATGAGCTCTTATCTGAGAGAGAAGGAGAGGAGGGTGGCCAGGACTTAAATTACAACCAAAAATAATAATGATTACTTGAATATACATGCAATGGACATCATCTCTTGGTATAAACTGTGGGACCCAAACGTCTGTTGTCAAGTCAACCTAAAAAAACAAACACAGCAATAACAACAACAGATTAATTATAATGTACTTGTTCAATTGTCTTTCGTGGTGTTTGGCTCGACTGTGATATTTCTTCTGAGCCATTCTTTGGATCTGTTACCAATACAAGCTCATAAAGTTTAAAAACACCATTGAAACTGGTAGGAGGACTCCATGAGAGTGACAAGTGTACGGAATAACTGTTAGGCTTGGAGACAGGAGCAAGCAGTCGGACATCAGTGATAGGGCCAGGCAGAGGAGACAAAGGATTGAAGGAACACTTGTAATTCTGTATGATTGGCTTAAATGCTATTAGATTCAGCCATTCTATTGATACCTAAAAAGAAAGAGAGAATGTTATAAAAAAGAGAGAGTTGATGACATTATTTACTGATAGTTCATATTTGAAATTGTTGGTTGATTGAGGGTAAAACCCGGAATTTAGTACAAAATGATAATCAGTCTCATTAGTCTAAGAATTAAAGAAAAGCAATGAGATAACTTAAATCAGACACCAAGTCATTACATCAATATTGAAATCTACAAGTGCCCCAGCATCTTGATCAATGACATTCCCAGAGCTGCCATACTCAATGAGATCAGGTATAACTGATATCTTATCAATGACTTCTTCATTGGCTATGTACGGTGTTAATTGTACAGACATATGAACAACATAAGAGAGACCATTAGGCTTCAATTGATGTGAACATGAAATGATGAGATCATCAGGCTCATCTAAAGTGGGCAGGAGCAGGAGATAGAGGGTGAACACAAAATTATGGATCATATAACATACAGTTGGGTAATGAGAGGTACCAGACTGCACTAGCAGGATTGAATGAACTGTGAACTGGTATACTGACAATCTACAATAATAAAATGATAATTATGCTAATAGTTTAATCATTAAAGTACTTTTAGATTATACTGGCAGCGAGCAAAAGGAGGATCATCTGGGTCCTCAGCTCGAATTAAATAATTAGTCCTCATCTAATAATAATAATAATAATAACAATAATAATAATAATAATAATAATAATAATAATAATAATAATAATAATAATAATAATAATAATAATAATAATAATAATAATAATAATAATAATAATAATAATAATAATAATAATAATAATAATAATAATAATAATAATAATAATAATAATAATAATAATAATAATAATAATAATAATAATAATAATAATAATAATAATAATAATAATAATAATAATAATAATAATAATAATAATAATAATAATAATAATAATAATAATAATAATAATAATAATAATAATAATAATAATAATAATAATAATAATAGTAATTATTATTATTATTATATAGAGTGCTTAGCTTACATTATTAAAGTCAGGCATTACATCAAAAATGGCATTACGGCATCGGTTGTAATGCTGAGCATGATCAATCACTATCTTGTAATGCGATATTGAAACCATGTCTATGGAAATGAAACACAAACAAAACCAGTAAACAAGTAAACTAAAAGCAAACGCGTCACAAAGACACAATTACAGACCATCCAGTTTCAATCCATTACTGCAATTATAGCTAAATATGGACTGAGGCAAAGCTGACAAAAACCCACACACTTAATTAAAATACAATGATCACTCAACCATACAATTAATTAAATAAATAAATATTAATTTGTGTGTACAATATGGTAAATATACAATAGCATGGTATATATTTAAGTACCGGGTGGATTATCCCATGATATGTTAACGACAAAATGGCCAAAGAATCCTCTCCTGTAGTCATAGGAATAATACCTACTAATTGTGATAGCAGATATGGCGATGGGCTGCGTGACGTTTACTAGATACGACAGAAATAACAATAACACACACACATCTGCTGTTTTGATTATCGTGATTTCAAATTTATTTATTTAATGATGATATTATTTACCTCCTTTGACATTAAGAATACTGACAGTGCCATTGTTATAATAACTGCCGTTGGGGCTAACCCAGGAATAGGATAAGTGTACTTTGGAGCAAATGTACTCCCGGAGATCAAGCTCTGTAAATAAAGCAGGCTAAGAGAGAGAAAAACAAGAGAAAGAGATGATTAATAAAGCATATGGTACACATTCAGATTTACAATATTCTTGAATATGGTCGTTTTATTCATTCCATCATAAGAAACAGCTGTAATGTTTAATAGCAGTGTCCACGTTGTATTAGCCCATTCCTTTGTCTGGTCTTCTTTCAGTCTTTCTACACCATTCATTGTCCAGTTAACCTTAAAGACTCCAAGGGTGGAAGTTTCCTTAATCTCCATTGTGGGCAGAGTAATAGTGTCTGATAACATGAAATAAAAATACTACATAGCATAATTCACTCTTAATTCAAAGCTCACCGCTACTCAATTCTTGAGTCATTGAAAATGGTATACTACAACCAGTAATACAAACATCTTCATCCTGTTTGGCATACAGATCATAGACAATAATAATAATAATACCAAAAACTAATTTCAGTGTTGATATATTTATAAACTCACACAATCGCTGCTGCAAACCTCATTGCCAGAGCAACTGTCATACTGAAAGGAAAACTTAAAACAATAAAATAAACTAATTAATACTCACACATAAACTATCACAAAGACTTGTATTTGCTTTGACAGTTGAGCTGTAATAGCAACCTTTACTACACTGCATTAGCTGTGAGAGAGTAGAGGGTAAAGTATCATGCAGAAAAAAAATTATTATTACCAGTGCCCAGATATGACAGCTTTGATTATCTTGTAAGATAGGAGAGAGAGGGGATAAGATAAAAAGGCCATTATCAAAAGTGAGAAATTCCTGTAACTCAGGGAAAGAGATGAGAGGATATAAGACATGCAAGCATACACACACTCAATAGTAAACAAGCAATGTTTTGATAAAATTAATGAAGCACAAGTTATTACCCTCTAATTTGATGTTATTGCAAAAACAAACAAGTTCCAACAAAGCAGGAAAACAAAATGTAGCATATCAAAAATAGAGAAACATATCAAATTTACTAGAAACTAAATGTACATGTAGCAGTTGGTTGCTTAATTTATAGTCTCGCCAGGCTAATCTGGTAAGATTACTCAATTTTGTAATTACTCATAATTGTTGTAATGCATTATTTCTATGAGGCTTTTGATGTGGTTGCACTACAGTCTGCTAACTAGACAACAACAATAAGTAGTGACAATGTGCTAAAATTGGCAGGGCTGGTCAACAAACAAGTCATTTGCAAGATAAAAACAAGTGTGGTACATTAGTCGCTCTTGAAAATAATATAAATAATAATAATAATAATAATAATAATTAGCTTTTATTTACCTGAAACAAAGTATTGTCCAATATCAGCTATGAGAGAGAGAGAGAGGAGGGATAAAAAAGAAATAAAATGATTTATTAAAAGTGTAAATATACCTGATTCAAACAGGCACTGATACAGGACCCATGTTGCAGTCCAAGAGTGAAATTGGAGCCTTCATAGAAATAAGAAGGATGAAGAGATGAGAGGTTGAGGGGATTGATACAAATGATGTCATTATTATCATCATCTTCATTATCTCCTCCATCTCCTCCATCTCCACTACCTGGGAGATCATCATTAGTAGCACCTGAAAATGATAATAACAAGAATAATAATACAATGAAAGACAGGGGGCTAAGGATCTCCATATTCTCTCTCTCTTTCCTTTCTCTTTCTATAACTTGGGCAGAGATTCAGCTTTTTATACACACAATTATTAATGCGTGGGTTATTATACAAGAGATGCATGCTGCATGCATGCACAGAGTTTTTACCACAATCTACGCCCACGCAATAATTAATAATTATGTGCGTGTGTAGCTAGGTATAAAAAGGACTGCCTCTTTGAGCTGATGCAGTTACTCACTTTTAATAAAGACCAGGAAAATCTGCTGAAAGATGAAGATGTGCTTATATGCATGCTGTATTGTCCTCTCTCTGTCTCTCACTCTCAGCCACTCATGTCTGCTGACTAACTGCAGGAACAACAGGAATGATATTCAGATGCAAAGTGAAGAGACTTTTTTAAGAGCTATTAAGTGTCAAGATTACTGCTTGAGACAAGTAAGAATCAGTTGAATGTGTGAGCAAATGAAGAACCATCATCATCATTATTACTATTACTATTATCAATAGTACATTCTTAATTGTTTTTTTTCTTTACATCTTATGCAAACATCTTTCTTTTCCATTCTCTCTCCTTTTCTCCACTGACTGTATCAATCATAAAAAGTATGGAGTCAAGCTACCAGTGAGTGCACTATTAATAGCAATAATAATAATAATAACAATAATAATAATAGATTAATAATTTATAGATTTATAACCAATAGACATTTGCGAGCCTCCTAGTAGGCAGCATAAATATTGTTACTGTAGAAATAGCTAATTAGTGTCTGGAGCATTTCATTCATGTTGAGAGTAGTCAATACAGTGTAGGTGTGTGTACATACGTTACTAAGAGGAGGCAATGAGACTCTTTGACTAGTCATATTAAAGTTTCTTTCTCGTCTCCAGGCCTACTGTCGCAGGCCGATTTATATTTTTAAAAACTATACTACATCTCTTAATAATTATGTCTTTACATTCGTAATCATGTGATCTAAAAATCTTTCCATTTGTCTGTCTGTCTTTTTCTTTCCATATATTCCTCATTCTCTCTCATCTCCACAGAATGTGAGCATAGTCAATGTTTGGCCAACAAGGAATGTCACGGATCTACAAAACAATTGCCGAATATATCAAAAGGTAATTATAAAACAATTAAAGCTAGGACAAACAAATTAACAGCAATACACACACTTCCCTTACAATCCTCACACGCACACGACCAATGCATAGCACACATAACTCTCACCAAAAACTTCACATGCTCTCAGAAAACATAGTCTTAAGGCCTCCATACACTAGGCAACATGTTGCTAGCAACATTTGTGGTTACTTTGATCTTGTAAGCAACATGTTGCCAGAAATAGAATAGCATTCTATTTCTGGCAACATGTTGCTGACAAGATTGAAGTAACCACAGATGTTGCTAGCAACATGTTGCCTAGTGTATGGGGCCTTTACGTGTACATATACAATGTAGGTATGCTCATGTACAAAAACAGAATAGTAATTTTACACATGCACACATCTAATACAATTATGAGGTCTTATTTTCAATCATGAAAGGTGGAACAGTGTCAATTGGGATGTGTTATCTCAAAGCTATACACAGACTTGACTCCAAATAAATGCAGGAATAAATGCGTAAGTAATTGACGATGTTACTGTATCAGCTCATCTTGTTTTATTGTGACAGTACTCGCTGTGTAAGGATAGTTGCAATGGAGAGACCAGATGTGCCATACACGATAACAGTTGCTCAAGAAAATGTGTACGTAATAATATCAATGATAATAATAATAGCAATAATAATAACAATATTAATAGGGTAAAACATTCTGCAAGAAAGGATGCCTCCATAAAGTTGATAACAATGGTTACAGTAAGCCAAATAATTTTTAAATGTACATTATTTATATATTACATTCCTGAATATTATTATCATTATTTATCGTAATTTTACTAGTACCACCTGTTCCAGTTGCTCCACCCATATTGATGCAAACAGAAGAAGAATATGCATATGCAGTTACATACAACCAAACAAATGGAATAAACAACAACAATAACAACAACAGCGAGCCTGATTGGGTAAACTTCCTCTTCAAAGTTACAGACATAAATGAAGGAATAACTCAATATTACTGGCAGGTAACTTGAACAAGAGCAGCAATGACAATAAATGATAAACAATGTAATTTTTTAATAGTCTGATTTAACGCAGACGCTAAAATTAACAGGATTCTCGTGTCGTGCCGTTAATGTATCAGTATCAGTGATCAGTAGGAATCATCAGACACCTTATTCACCTCCAGCTACACTTTGCATCAATAACGGTGAGAAAAACTAAGTTTTAAATTAGAAAATTATCATAACATATTCATTAATAGAGAAATTTTATCCATCACAAATAGCAGCTGAAACCATTGTTCCTGCCTTTAGAGAGGACAAAGAACATTCAAGCTTTGTAGAGATAGATATCCAGTGGGAGGGACCAGAGACAAGTAAACAAACCTCGTTAAGTGAAATCCATAGACATTATTTCCTCATTTAAATATTGACAGATGCAGGAGCTGTGACTTCATACAGTGTATTTGTATTATCAACACAGGAAGAGTGTGGAGGCATGAATAAACTCTTCACATATAATGATATTAAACAAGTGAGCTCATGCAATTATACTGGAAACTGCTAATAACTGATTACCCAATGCACATCAATGACATCATTTGTATTATAGAACAATATATCAATAAAGACTGATGGATCCAACCAGTTCCCAAGATTTGGATGCACTTATCATTTAATAGTGAGTAGGAGACACAAAGCAATACGTCATTCATACATGAAAACTTTCTAATAGCCTTAATTTTATTATGCGCATATAATATGTACAATGTACATGTATGTGTACAATGGCTACACTATAATTACGCACTATAATCATCACATGTAGGTAAAAGCATATCCTTCAAGAGATGACACAGATGGAACTCAAGTCACAATTATACCAAAACGTATGATAATAATAACAATTAATAACTGTTAATAACTATCAATAACACGTAGTACCTGAATTCAATGGATCAGTGGAATTAAATTGCTCCAGCGTAAGGATTGGGGATGGTCCAGTGATACTAATGGCTAACTGGAGTCACTCTGGAAACGAGGCCATTAGTCATTACCTGCTAGACATAAAACATGAGAAAGAAATGAAGATAAAAGCAAATGTTAGTGATTCACCCACACACATGCAAACAGACACATAGTGAGGCTCCTAATGTATTGTCTATGCAATAGGTGAGTCAAAGCCAGTACAGAGTTTCAAAAATTCTTTCAGACATTCAAGACGACCATATTCATGTTAACGTAAGAAAGACACAACAAGAAATTTAAAAAGATATTTCATCTATGAACCTTTTCTATTTCCACCTTTCTCCTCTCTCTCCCTCCCTCTCTCTTTCTCTCCCTCTCTCTCTGTAGTTATCATCTCAAAAAAGATCAGATTATTACTGGCGTCCATTACCATACCCAGCCTCATGCAGCGTACAGGTTCCAGTACATGTACCACTGGCTGTATTAGTCGATCAAAAAATCGATGAATATAATAATAATATATCATTCAATATCAGCTGGAGTACCATTTCATCTAATATCACTCATATTCAGCTCTTGATCGGACAGAATTTAAATATACCACAATACTCATACGTGATAAAGGCACAATTGAAAGAATTCTTTATTAGTATTGAGAGAAACAATGACGATACTTATCTATGGGTAAGAGAGGGAGAGAGGGAGAAAGGGGAACATCCTTTAATTATTAATAATAATTAGGCAAGAAGCGTGCAAGAAGCAATGGAGACCAGCTGGAACAATCCCATCAAAATAAAGGGTAATCTATTTTTATCATTCTAACTACTAATTAAGATTTCTTCTTCATTTCTTTTCGCATTATCAGGAAAAGGTTTGGAGTCTGACACAGAAGAGGGGTAGATTATCCACTAGCTCAGTATAACTTGAGCAAAACATTACCACATTATGACATGTCTACACGTGACATATAATTAAGTCAATTTGTTACTGTGTGTATTATATATGTGAATACCTTTAAACTGTCCATTCCATTCATTTTATTACAAAATAAGCTTTAATTGATGAAGACAGCAAAACTGCAGCATTTTATTTTTAGACACGTGGTTTCCGTATACTTTTGGTAATACTCGTACTCTCTAAATCCAGCCCCACCCACTCTTTATTATTGGATTTGGAGTTAACTCTATTTTACTACATCTGTTCTTGCAAAATGTAATCATAATCCTGCCTTTTCTCTATAAAAATATCATCAATACACTGAAAAGTACAAAAATGTTTTCAAACTTAATAAAAAGAACTAAAATGAGACGAGTAAAGACACAAGTAGCACAACAAAAGAGAAAAGAAGAGATTTGCCATCACCCGATTGTGTGGTAAAGAACCAACCAGTTGATTATATAGTAATAATTAATAATAACAATAAGAACAGTAATTATAATAATAATAATAATAACAATAATAATAATAACAATAATAATAATAACAATAATAATAATAATAATAATAATAATTAGAATACAAAAACATAAACAGTGGTAACACAGTTTAATATTATTTTGATGCTCAAAAGTGTAATTACGCTGTGTCTTTAAGGTTACAGGAACTAATAGGAACCAGAGAAGAGAGAAACAAAAACATAAATATAAATGAGTACAACACTGTATAGCGAGAAAATGTCATGGTCCAAAAATTTCATAAATTCAACTAAAAATCTTTTTCGTGGTTTTAATTTTCCCAATTTTCTGCCTTTTGGCCATGTTGAACCATATTAAATCGATTTTTGGGGATATTATTTTTTTGGCAAATTTTAAATAAATTGCAAAATTCACGAAAATTTTGGGCCACAAGAGATTCTAGCTATACTGTATCATCGTGGTCATTACCATTAACTATACAGCCACTGACTCTACTTCTTCCCAGTTCTCGTCATCCTCTGGGTCAGTATCTGAGAGGTTCTCTTCTCCGTGGTGAGGATCATCAGGCTGCTCATCAGTCTGAGACTCAAGATCCTCCTCACAATAATGATCAAGACTGAATCCAGGATTATCAGCCTCTGACAAAACCATGTGAACCTAAAATTGAAGAAAGCACATACTTTAAATGCACATGTAGTCATGTACTGTACATGTACATGTACGTGACAAGATGACTCAGAAGTGAAACTAATTGGGCCTTATTGAAATAAAAGAAATGTAAAATGAAATGATTTTTTTTGTCGGAATCAACTCAAACTTTCTACATAGCATAAGGGCATCAATATACATCAGAAAATGCAATAAAAATTTGGGGTGATTTCGGGCCCATTTTTTGGAAAAAACCATGGGCTATAGTACAGGGTATTTTTCAGAAATTGGCCCATTTTAAAAAATGGCCATAACTCGAAAAATATTTGTCGGAATCAGCTCAAACTTCCTACATAGCATAAGGACATCAATATGTATCAAAAAATGTAATAAAAATTTGGGGTGATTTCGGAGCCATTTTTCGGGGAAAACCATGGGCTATAATTTTTCAAAAATTGGTATGTTTTTTTAATGCTCATAACTTCAAAATTATTTATTGAAAGCAGCTCAAACTTTCTACATGTACATGTACATCAAAATTACTTTAGAATGTCTAGTTTAACTTTAAAAAAGTGCATATGGGACCTACTGTACCTTAAAGTTACAAGGATACTGCTTGTGCTTCTTGTCTTTATTTGCTTTATCAATTTCATTCTTTGGTAAGATAACAACTCGAAAGTGTGAAGCTGTATAGAGCCAAGAGACAGAGAGGGAGGGAGGAGGAGAAAGGAACAAAAACAAAAATGAAAATAAAGTTAATAAAACTAAAATGGTATTAAATATTTGCAAAACCACCTTTTGGGGTAGCATCAAGTGAGACTAGCTCCCCTTCAGCCCTATCACCATTAGCAGTGCTGTATCCAGCTAATCTTGAAGGGGCTTTCTGATCAACAGAAATTGTAGTCAGAGGAGAAGCCGTGGGTACACCTAAATCATTAAACAAATGATGGAAACTATTGAGTGTTAATGTAAGCGTAGACTCACCTCTAGAGCTGACATTGTTCCCTTTACCAATACCAGCAGAAGCAGGAGAGCTATGCATTATCCTCTCCTCCCTAGCTTCCCTAAGAAAAAGCATTAAAAAATAAAAAAATTAAAAAATAATAATTATCATTATTACAAGACGAATGTAAAACATTAAGGGGCTCAGCCCTCTAGCCGCACTATATCCTGAAGATTATATGGTATACAGCTATGTTATTGTACATGTACATGATCATGTGTAAATACTACAGTAGTTCTTGATGAAATGTGAGAATGAGATGGTATACAAAATGTAAATAAAAAATTAATGATGATGGAAAAGATGACAAAAAGAGTAAGAGAGAGAGAGAGAGAGAGAGAGAGAGAGAGAGAGAGAGAGAGAGAGAGAGAGAGAGAGAGAGAGAGAGAGAGAGAGAGAGTAGCTCACTTTGTTGCCATAGCATTCTGTGCCTCCTGCTGCATTACATGCCAGTCAACAAAAAATGTATTAAACCAAAATAAAAACATTTTCTCCTAAAAAAATTAATTTAAATTAAATATTAATGTATTTTGAGTGCGAGAGATCAAGTATAACTTGCCTTTGAGCCAAATCTCGGATTGTGATAAAACTCGACTTTAATGTCATCACAAAGAGGAATGGGCTTTGTTAACATGAGCTCAGCAAACGCATCAGTCCGTCTAATACTCTAGAAAGAGAGAGGTCATGTAGTGATAGGTAGAGAGATGAAACAAAGAGAGACAAGAACACAATAGAAAAAATAGCAAAAAGAGAGAGAGAGGGGGAAAGAGGGGGAAATCATGCACAGAAAATGAATGGACTCACTTCATAAACCTTTGAGGTATATAATACAACCTTGTGTTTTCTCACAATAAAGAAAGGAGCTACAATGTACAAAAATACATATATAGACATGTAAAATACATATATACACATGTAAATACATACACATGTACATGTAGATCATGTACATGTACATATAGTCGGTTACATACCACAGGTCCCTCCACTGAAGTTAGGTATTCCTTCTAATCTAATAGCATGTAATAAAATTGTCCGAGGAGAATATTGTAAATTATTTCTAATAAGGTGGCCATAGTACTGAACATATCTTCTTTGGCTTGGGATGGTAACGCCCTAAAGTTGCATATGTAAAATTTAAAAAGATTAGAATATGCACAAAGTCTATACCTTTGCATTTTGGGTCCTGGCCTCTCCGTAAAACTGGAGGGCATCCTTCACTGTGTCAAACAGTCTATCATGTAGTAAGTACGAGCAAATCATGACACCGGTTCTACCCTACATGTACAATAGAAAGAAAAGACGAATAGAAGAGAAAAAAATAATTAGAGGAGAAGGAGGAAGGTTGGGAAATTGGAGGAATAGAATGTCAACAATAAAAGGAACAAGTGGGAAGGAACAAAAACAAGTCCAGCGCTTATAAGGCACAAGTAGCTTGGGAGGAACGAGAAGATCATGTAGTGCTACTCCTTCAAGTTATGTTTCTCCATGTATTGTGTACATACATGTACATGTACAATGTACACGGTGTTAAATCCTCGTTATTATATACATGTACATGTACACTTGTAAAAAGGACACATTCAGAAATAATGAGCAGGTCAGTTTTGACATTTAGAATTAAAAATAACTCGCTAAATAAACTCCTTAAACCAAACAACCAAGAATAACTATAAATGCAAGTACATGTACAACAATAGTCTAATAGCTATGGCTATATGACAATGTTATTTTATGATATATGTATAGCATCCATTCCACCACTGACAACAGGATCAGTCAGAAACTAACCTTTCCTGCCTTGCAATGTATAACTGCAACATTTCTATTGTCTTCTTTGAGCCAGCCATCAACGTCCTCACAGAAAGGTTGAATCAGCTCAAAAGGAGGAGGGTTGTGATCATCAAATGGGTACACCGTAACTGGAGAGAAAGGAAAAGAGAGTTTAAAAAAAAGAAAAAGAAGGAACTGATATGCGTTGCTTTAGAGGCAAACCTTTGTGGAACTTTTTGGGATCGTAAAACCTCTCGGAACAAAGATTATAAACCTTGTAGTGATCAGTGTAATGCGTGTCAAAATATCTACAACAATAAATAATAGAGAGAGAGAGAGAGAAGTGAAAGTTGTCATCTCAGGTCATCATCACCATCATTCATTGAGCCATTCACATATCAACATCCATTAACAAAATATTAACAATGAAACAATAGTGATTGTGTACCTTTGCACATCTGACATTTTGTTACGATATACTCCTTCAAGTTTCTCAGACGGAAAACCCATAGCTACTATATTAGGTTTGATGACTAGGGAGGGTAAAGAGAGAGAGAGGGAGAGAGAGAGGGGGAGAGAGGGTAAAGATAAAGGGACATGAAATACAAGCTAACATATAGAAAACAAAGACTTTGCTATAATGCCAAATAAGGTATTGTGACACACAGACACATACATGGTACGCAAAAGTCAGCAACTCAGACAAACAAAAACACATCAAACAAACATACCTCAGATTAAAGGACTATAGGCAGTGGCTCTAATCTATACAGAGGCACTGTGTACTCTTTCATACAACAACTCTCACTTTCTCATTAATACTCTTACCCTCCAACCTTCCCCTCTCCCCCCCTCTCCCTCTCTCTCTCTCCCTCCCTCTCCCTCTCCTTCCCTCCCTCCCTCCCCCCATCTCTCTCTCTGTTCCATGCTCATTAACCTCATTAATCCTTTGTGTACTTTTAAAATGAGGGACTACAACTACATGTACATTGCATTAGGAGTGCAGACATATAATAAAATAAATGCAAATTTTGATGTATTTTGGTTGATTACGTAATGCGATATTTGGCCACTTTGCAATAAACACACACTCACGTGTATGCATATACACAATTGGTGCCAATTAATTCTAGTGTGCATCTTCTGAAGCAACACAATTCAAAGGTACAATGTAGTTCAACTATGGTGCTAACCACAATCATCATGATATCAAGTACTTAGTAAGCTCAATTACTCAATGACTTATGAGCCAGTGAATCACATAAGACAAGACAAACACTAGTCGAACTACAGCAACAGAATGTCTGAAAACAGCATACGCAATACAAATAAAATTATAACGAATTGAAATTCAATCATAATGCTAATGCTATCATGCCACAGTTCTTTCCAAAAACTGGATCCAATAACACTTGAAATTGTTATTACACATTGTGCTCCATATCAATATCACCAAAGCACAATACATAAAATACAACATGCATGCATATGTCATATGTACTGTATGATTTTTTGACAGGAACCAATTACATGTATACACCTATTAATTTTGACTTGTACAGCTAGTGCATGCTTTAAATGTATTAAACTAGTAGCTAGTAGTGTCTAGTACAGTATAAAATAGCAGAGAGACATTCATGTACAGTGCATGTGTAGGCTTGCTAGGTGCTGGTATTTACATGTCATATCAAGATCAAACCCATCAGCAATGAATCTTCTCTTTCTCTTGGACACCAAATGTCTGAACTTGTTAGTAGCCATTATGAATCTGTGTCTAATAAAAAAGAGAGAGAGAAAGAGAGGCAATGAATGTATTACGTATTGTGTTATATTTTTATGAATACAATTAATGTCTTCCTATGGGAGGTAATGTTGGAGTTGAATATGATTAATAAAAGCACCATGCATAAAAAACATTAGTAAAATAATCATTTAAGGTACACACAAATAATGATAGATACTATAGGTCACACAGTATTTGTACTCACAGGCAATAAAACACACAAAAAAATCACATGCACATGTACTAGATTATACACATCTAAGTGTAGGTAGGTAGTATAGTACTAGGGGGAACAGGTATGTTACAATTCAACAATTTCTACAAGAAACCTCTCAAAATTACTTCTATAAGAAACACCTGGTCAATTTTTCAATAGTTTTATATAAATTTTCACTTTACATGCATAAACATATGTAGTTACAACTTGGCACACCGTGTACATGTACATGCACAGTATATTTCTCTTCAAGAAAATGACACAGCAGGATTGCCCAATATGCCTCATAATTGAAATCCTTCAGGACTACCTTCAAACAAATAGAGATATTGAGTAACTGAGAGTTTGTTGACAAACACTTAGAATGAAATAAGAGAGAAGGGGGAGTTCTCAAGAGTATTTGAATTCACAAGAACTAGCACCATCATGCAGGTATATATCCTCACAATATAAACACTCATTAATGAAAACACAATGGAATACTGTATTTCCACCTGGAGTTGTACATGTACATGTCTTACAAGTACAGATAGGATATAGTTTGAAGAAAATGATTCATTTAGAGCATAATCATTCAATTAATGGATACACTATTATAAAAATAGGTAAAACAATACAGTGATTATCTATGCATGCATTGAAGACCAATTTCAAATAGTGCCAGTGACAATACTAATCCTATTAAGATTGTCAAAAGGCCAACACATGATCAAGATATGCATACAGTGCACACATCACCTTCCCTCCTCCACACTGGATCACTCTCACACAATTTATTACACCCTAGGTGGAGTTTGTTCATACTTATTGGACTGTTTATCAAAATTGAAGTTCCACAATGGTGAAAATGAAAAATGTGCAAATGGAAATGCTTTAAGAGAAAAGCAGGGCCTTCGGTTTGGTCCAAACATAATTTTAGTTTCATTTCTGTCTGTTCTTTTCGGGTACATGTACAGTTAATAAGTATGAAACATAAATTATGTTGAAATCTATACAACTGGTTATATCACTACAATCAACCTCGGTCTTCAAATCAATCTTTCTCACCTTCTTATCCCACCCTCTCTCGCTCTCTTTCCTTCTCCCTCTCTTTCTTTTAAAGTAAAACATTATCATCATTTCCTCTATTCCTCATTCTCTATCTCTACTATCATCATTATCCATATCCACTCAGCCACTACCAGACTGCCATCATGTTACATTACAACAGTACCAATGAGCAAGGTCTGTATAAACACTTAAAAATTACTAGCATACCAACACAAACAATTGCAACAGCTACACTACTATCAAACAACGTGAAGCATTACCTTTAAAGACTACTTGTTGTGATAGACTCTTCCCTGATATCAAATAAAGAAACCCAAGGATTGGCTCGGATTATAAACGGGTATGGGGGGTTGGCAATGCTCCTACCTTTATACATGTACATGCACTATAGCTGCGTGTGGTCTCATATGTAACCAAGTCTCCCTCTCTCTAATAGCTAATAAGGTGACTTTAATACAAAACAGAGAAACCCGGTTGGTATGACAATCAATATTGTGTACTCAATTCAAACTAGCAGCCAGGTGAGAGGGATCACCCCTCCCCTTTCTCAGGCTTGTCTTTATACACAAAAGGATATAAATTAAGGATCTCCCAGTAGTAAAAGGGAATGAACTCACCCTCTTTTAAACCCGAGACTGGCGGCCAACGATGACTTGCTTTCTCTTGACAAACACAGACTAAACTTCAAAGACTCAAACACCAACAACCTACACGAGAAGAAACGAGCGAAGCTAGAATAGAATCCAATCCAAACCCTCACCTTCTTTTCTTTCCTCTGGCTAAAAAGTTTCTGACTAATGCTGATAAAACTTCTCTCCTCCTCTCTCTGTGCCTAGCCTATTCTCACAATGTCACAATCGGTCAATCAATCACAATATGGGCGTGGTCGCTGACCTTATATGGAACACCCATTCCATCACATGTAAAGAGAGGTAAGCGCAAAATGTGATTGTGTATGAATAATCCTTTATGTAAAATGCTTCAGTTAGTTACATTGGCACAGGTAAACATGCAGAAGAGAGGATCGATAGACAGAGGCAACAGGATCATAGTATTGGTTGCCTTGCTTGTCATCATCGCCCTCTGTGTCTTGTATTTCATGAAAAGATCAGAGCTACACAGGGTCATCAGACATTCAAATACTGAGAAAGTTAGCCCTTTTAATGTATCTTTGTATTCACATGCCCTATATGCATTAACAATGATTATTTTGACAAAGTTATTGAATGTTAATGTTATATACTGTGTTCAAGTATATGTACATATATGTATATGCATATATGTTCTTTCCTGTCTTTCAAAATCAACACAACACTTATGTTTCAGTGTCGTTTGTCTAAACAGTAAACAGTAATTAGTGGCAATAGAGGGAGTGTTCACTTTTTGCTTAAATGAATTAGTGGGCCTGCTAGCTATTAGTTGACATTTAACAATAATGAAGCCATTTTGTGATTTATTCACATCACTTGACATTACTTTCATTTCCTTGGTATGATTAGCATCTCTATGCATCAACTGCATATTTGCCTCTTTATCAGCATAACAATAATAAAAATATAATATATGCAATAATATTTTTTGCAGAACAAATTAAAGGAAATTGAGGCCAATTTGAATCAACGGATTTTAGAACAGGACCAGAAAATTAAAGCAATGCAGCAACAGGTGGACAATTACAAGACACAGATGAACAAGTAAATGAGCAAGAAAACACTGTCAGATAACAGAGTAGAGTTTGAGTCTGGATTGAGTGGATTCAACGAGTTATTTTTTATTTTAGGTGCGAGGACCAATTACTAGTCAGCGACAAAGAAATGGATGCTAAGGATAAGCTGATTCAGCAGTGCACCAAAACACAGGAAGAGAGCACGAAAGAATTGGTAAGACATAATAATGTGGGATTATTGTACACAAGTGCATACCAAAGAGTGTGATCAATACCTCGTTGCATGGAGAATAAGTTTAACACTATATAATGAATGGCACATGTGATCCTAGCCCAGTTTGGTAGCCATTTCCAAGGCAAAATAAAAGTATACTTTGTGTATACATGTTGTACTTTATGTGTATACAAAGGAGTGAAAGGAGTGTGAGAACTAGACTCTGTTTTTCATCATGTATGATAAATTAAAGGAAATGTTGTAGTAAAGTGATTCCCTCTAACATTTGGTCCCTGATAACAATTCCTCTATTTTCAACTATCATTTGAGTATGTATACTGTGTGACATTGATTGTATTTTTTTATTATACAGACTAAATGCCAGGAAGAGGCACAAGCATTGAGAGGTAAGAGTGATTAGTGGATATGTGTGTATTTGTAATTAGTTCAAGATTGAGTTGCTGTAATAATAAAGATGCTAATGTAGTTAACAGCATTTGTCTTAACTGATCTCCCCTTTGTGTGCCTATCTCTATTTTAATACATAATAGTTATTCTTGTAGTATTACTCTTGTAGTATTACTATATACTCTTTGAATAGTAGTAGCAATGATGTCAGTTCTGTGTTGCCAATCTTTTATTGTATATTTTTCTTTGTGGGACATAAACTAGTGGAAGGAGATCCTGGCTATGGCCAATACTGTACTGTATTGAGTTCTCTTAACTTAGTTCACCTGTGAAGCAAAGGAAATCATGCTCAACTAAACTATACCCTTGTATTAATAGTCAATTACTAAATTCTATTTTATTTCAAAGAAAATGGCAGGAGATGTTGCACTGGGCACTAGTTACTGTAGTACTATTAGCATATTTTGTACAGCTACGACGGTAGTAGTCCTTTTGTGGATTTTGAATTGTGTTTACTGCTCTTTTATTTTCAATTTTAATAGAAAGTACATATTGTATCATTAGTTTAAGCTTTACGCATGTTTTGTTTTTGTTAGTTAGTCAAACATTTGAACAACAATCAGTGAAGCATACAACATCCTTAATATTCTTCCTTGCTTTGTTCTGATATCAGAAACCAGAATAGTTTTTATAATCTACCAATGCTCATGGCCCCCAAGACATTTTGCTAAAAATATTTTTCTTCTGTGATCATGTTTATTTCCCTCGCTCCTGTGTAGGCGTGTGGACGTGGGTATTATATTAATCATGTCTGTGTTTATTTTTTTATTTTTCATATAGAGTCAAGCACCAAGACTAGTAGTGAAATGGAGCAAGCAAAAGAACAACTAAAAACTGCCGAGAGTAAATTGGGCAAGTGTTATGAGTCTTTGTCATCTAACGCAGAGGAAATAAAACTGATGAAGGATAAACTGTGAGTGAAATTTTCAATTTGTCTAAAATTGTTTATATTAAAACTGCTAGTATTGAGGAAAAATATTTTTGGCCTGATTTTTAAGCAGCTTTAAAAATTCATTAAAAATCCAAATTTGATCGGAATCAGTTCAAGTTGAAACTCAATATAAGAACATGATTATGTATCAGAAAAAATTTTTTAAATGGAGAATTCTCTCCTTTTCATTTTTAACGAAATTTAGCCAAAGTGGACTTTGACCTGATTTTTGAGCAACTTTAAAAATTCATGAAAAATTCAAATGTGATTGGAATTAGCTCTAAGTTCTGCACATCCTCACTAATATGTGGAAAGATGACTTTTGTGAAATATATTTTATGTTCTCTGGGAAATATGCCCCGCCCCTTATACGTTATTCGCATCCTTTAAATAATTTTGTTCATTATTATAACTTTTGATATTTATATATTTTAGGACTAAATGTCAAGTAAAGTCTCCTGGTGATGCCCTTGATTCTATTCAATGATACTGCACTTGTTGAAGAGAAGACAATTGGAACTTATTATATATATTAATTTAATTTTTTATTTTATTTTTTGTGTGTTAGTCACAACGATTGCATGATTCAATCTCTTTTAAACTACCAATTATAATTATAATTATTATTTATTATTACTATTATCATTATTATTATTATTATTATTTAAATCTAATTTTTATTTTACCACCAATCACCCAAAGCATATATGAGTCAGTAATATTTATTATGTTTGTTGGTACTGCTTCCTTTATCCTGAAGCCTCTCTTGTGTAATGTGTACATGAACTGGTGGTGGAGGACAATTAACATCACTACCAATTCCATGAGATCTTGAGATGCTTTTCCTAGTACCAGACTGAGGATGGGCCTGCTGATCGGGAATGAGAGAAAAAGGTCGATTCCGTTTCCCAGGTGTGTTAAGACGAGAGGACATGTTTATATCTTGATCTAATTCGCTCTGGAGTCTCTCATGGAATGAGCGGTCACTCCCTCTTGACATTAGGCGGGAATGAGCATCCCTTATGATGGTGTCGTGCTGTGGTAGTTTAAATGGTGAAGCACCATCAATATCACCGCTCTGACTCATGTAGTGATGACAGCCACCAATTGCTGATAAAGTCTTGTTTTCTTCTACTTGTTTATTGTTGGGAGTTGCAATTTGACTATGTGTATCTGATGGGCTGTTGTTGGCCTGCTGTGGGTTGGGATCAATCTCCCCTATAGCTGCCATCCTAAGCATGTTGAGTACAATAGTCTTCTCTGTGTAAAAAAAATAATAAGAATACTTTATTTTGGCATTAAAAATGCATGTGCATTACATGTGAAGGTGCAAAAATTGAATGATAATTAGCAGCCATGCAAGTGTGAATCTTGAGCAAAAATTAATTGCATAGTAAGGTAATAATAAGTGAAAATGAGACTGTGAAATGACATGAATACCTGACTCTGAGCAAGTCTGCAGCCAAGCAAAGCATGCAGGGATTGAGTTTGTCTGTAATATTCGGCATAAAAGATCTAAAATCTGCAGAAAAAATGAAACAAGTTTTTTAATCAGAGAATCATGTTAGGTCAATGCAAACCTTTTCAAAAATTAAAGTAATTAATGGACATGCATGCAAAAGGAATTAGTAAAAGTACCTGTTCATCTTCAAGATGGTCATAGGCCCCACTCCTCTGACTTTGCTGACTGGAGATTTCTCCCATTGCTCTGTTTATTGCCTTGTGGGTCTTCTTTTCAAGCTCATCTTTCCATGCATAAGTTACAGGAACTATATGTATTAATTGTCATTGAAAAATTAACAAGCCAATAATTATTTAATGGCTGATTTATAACTTTTAAATTTAACAGTAAAATCTATTATTTAGGTTGTGTTTACCTATGCCAATAGCTGGGATGTATTTTGCCTTGTTAGCACTGTATCTGGTGTTACCAGGAGGACGATAATGAGTGCAGTAGTCTTCTCCTGTTGGAGCTGAGAAAACCAATCGTCGTTCATAATTGTCTTCAACAACACAAATAGGCACGTCAAGTAATCCTTTCATGTGTCTGACTCGACCTATAAGAAAGAAAGGGATAAAAATTAAGCACAGCAAAGCATGGTGCAATCATTGCAAGTGTTTAATAAGTTGCTGCAGGGACAATGCAGTGAAGCAACCTATTTACTTTGATATTAGCAAAGAAAGAGACACACATACACAGCATGCACTCAATATTCATCTTCAGTACCTGGATGGGGATTATGTCTTGTATAGAAGCCAATTCTTTGCTGGTAAGGTTTGGATCCATCCTCTAGTATCCCAGCCTCTTCCCTGTGGCTCAGGTAAGGTCGTATATTCCTAGAGTATAGGAGTGACTTCGTCCTATATGAAGGAGGGATGTGGCTTTGGGTCAATGGTCCTCTAAGCAATATCCCTTCCTGTCCCCTCGGGATAAATGTTGCTGTCATTGTTATTCTTTATTTAGCACAAAGAGAGTCAAAGAGAGTGAGTTGTTCCTTCTTCACAGGTCTCAAAGCTGTGATTATGGTTGCTATGGGATTGCAAATTAGCAAGATTCATATCACAGGTGTAGCTGCTACTCTGCAGTGAAGAGATGAAGGTGTGGCTCATTAAGCTAGAAGGAAATGGGAGGAGCAGAGTGGTTAATTAAGACCGCCCACTCTAAATTGGTTTAGGTGTGAGCTGATATCTGATTGGTCAGTCATGATGTCATAAGTAACCCGCCGGCCATCTTTGAGGGTTTTTCCCATCATTGATAGGTACCATAAAGCCTAAAGGAGCTGATTACGACCTATTTTATGTTATTTCTGTCGGTGTGTGGGGCTGTGTTTTACTACTAGGAAAAGATCCAAGAAGAAAAGAATATTCTGAACAAGCCAATACCGACATTATCATATTTTGAGGAGTACCCGAGGCAGTCCTTTAGCAGCCATGGCTTTTAATGGTATTGATCCCTCTTCTCTCCCCGAGGCACTCATTAGGGATACCATGAACACTCTCCCGACTCACATTGTCAACAGCAATCCGGACTCACTCAACAGTAAGTCCAATATTATTATGTACCATTTGGCATGTGTTTATCTAGTCATCATCTATTGTACTCATGACTTTTACAAAGAAATATTATACATTGTGTATTATTTATTGTTGGCTTCTGGACATACTGTGTACGTACACATGCTCACTTAATGATTAGAATGTACACAGTTGTGGTCACAAATGGTATCAAATGAAAAAGGTTTAATTATTTGAGTGGGTTTATGCAACTACCTTCCCCGTTAAACTGGGTTTGATCCAGTGTCACTTAAAATGACTATTGTGATGATATAGTGTCACTGTTCTGTTATTGGTTTCATTGTTGCACTATGTTTTGAGCTGGCCATACATATAATTCATCAATAGCTTCTCAGAAAGTGTTTTATATTCAATACTGAAATTTTATGCTCTCTACAATTTGAAAATTCATTCAACAGGATATTTTTTAGCTCTTGTAATAATGGTAATGATAATGATAAAGTCACTGTTATGCCTCTGAGATAATGATGTGTGTGTGTGTGTGTGTGTGTGCATTAGCTTGAAAGTGACTTGTAGTGTATTATATGATTAACTGGTTCTCTCCCTATATCTCAATGATATTAGCAGGATACTAGTACATACACTCTACTTTAATGAGATTGTACTCATGTAAATATGGCGATGACATCGCATCCACATTCAAAGGGGTATTGTCATTATTCTTAGAAAAAATTCCCTTCTTCATTCTATTTGTTTTCTCTCGTCATAGTTGGCTGTAAATAATGGCTGAGTTTGGGTATTGCATGTTTGTACTGACGTCTTGTCATAGTTATGAGCTACTGTACATGATTTTATTTCTTGTGTATTATTGTTTATGTTTAATGTAAAAATAATGACTCGTTTTGATTTGTCTCTTCCTTTTTCGTTTTTTCTCTCTCTCTATTTTAGGCTCACCTTATTCTTCTTTGACTCAAGTCCGACTTGAAATTGTTGAACAACCGAAATCAGTATGTCCATTTGTTCACGTGTGCATGCATATACATTCATGTACTACATACATTCTTTTGCTGTTTTCTTAAATTTTTTGCATGTCATTATAATTGCAGTGTTCCTATAACTATCATTTACTTCATTATTCACATTCACACATGACACTTTATCGCTGTAAAGACAGTGTTGATGCTATAACTGAAAGCATTAGTCCTTTTGCTTTTCTTTCCAAAATCTTAGAAAATAATCAACTGCTATTCAAGCTTACATGCTGCAACGTAATTCATGCAACTATTTTAAAATTTGTAAAAAATCTTATAATGAAATATTTGCCATGAGTTTGTGTTGTTTATTGTTGTTGTTTTTGTTTTTGTTTGTTTGTTTATAGAGAGGATTCAGGTTCCGTTACGACTGTGAGGGTCAGAGTCACGGTGGTCTCCCGGGAGAGAATTCCGAGAAAAACCGACGCCAAAAAACCTATCCAACCGTCCACGTAAGTCAACCACCGGTCACCATAGCAACCGTCTCTCTCTCTCCTCCCCTTGATAGTTGAAAGGTTATCGTGGGCGGGCCCGTGTGATGGTTTCCTTGGTAACAGACTCTGACCCAGCAATGCCTCATGCCCATTCTATAGTTGGAAAGAATGCTATTGATGGTCGCTGTGTTGTAGAGATAGGGCCAGAGACGGATATGTATGCACAGTAAGTCGAATTTGTATGTCTGTACATTAATATGATACAATTAAAATAATTATGTGTATATACGAGATTAAGAATGTGGAGGCATTTGTAAACAAATAAAGCCCACCCTTGAGCTGACAGTAGGTGGGTTGTATTGCTTTTTGGCAATGAAAGAACATATTGACAAGATGTGTGTATCATTAGGAGTGTCCCCTATTGAAGTTACATGGTGCTTACAATGTATAATCTTTACATGGATTTATTCGCATTGTGTGCTACATACATGTACAAGTACATGTACATGTACATGTACCCTAGCTGTTATTTATTGTTGTAGGAAATGATGGTAGAAAAAATGGCATGCAACTGCAAAGCCTCTTTGATGGGCTTGTAGCTCATGTAACTTGTGCTGAGTGTCAACACTAGACTGGAGTTACATGTACATGTACATGTACATGTACATGTATACTAGTGGATGCTAACACCAGTTGAATGAGAGCTATAGTCAGGGTGGTTGTGGTATATAGTGCTCATGCAGCTTCTTGTCTGTCAAGTTGCTCAAAAATTGGGCCAAATTTTGATAAGAATCACAAGGAGAGAATTCTTCATTTTTATAATTTTTCCTAATCCATATGTCCCTACATTTTGTATGTTTTGTAGCAAGTTTGAGCTGAGTCCTGCAATCAAATTTGATTTTTTATAAATTTTTTAAGTTGCCCTAAGTGCCATGTACTAGTAGTGCTTGTTAGCTTATGAAGCTCATGCTGTTTAGAAAACTGTCCGTGTATATCACTTATTATTAAAAATGCTTGAAAAAGAGTTTGTTGTGGCACTGTGGGTACAAAGGATTGCGGTTGTCTGTCAGTTATTTGAGAGACAATGCATGCACCATAGTGTGTGTGTGTAAGGGGAATATTATTAGTAAGGAATTTTGCACCATGTCCACGTGTGTGTGATTGACAATGAATTGACAATAATGTAATTCTTTTAAACTCTTTGTTTCACATTAGCTAGTATACAGTAAATAATGTCAGTATGAATTAACACATTATACTCACAAAGTATTTATTGTCATACATGTTTATGTATCGAACATTTACGTTGTACATGCAGGTTCACAAGTCTTGGTATACTTCATGTTACTAAAAAGAAAGTCCCTGAAGTTTTGACGAGGCGTCTCTTACAGCAAACAACTCCTCGTGGACAAATGGTTGACCAAATGGAAGTGGTTGATGTTGATATGACCACCGCCCAACTAACATCTGGTATGTTATAGAGAGAGAGAGAAGGAGGGAGGTCTTGGTTACATTATGTTATAATGTCTAGAAGAGCAAGATGAGATACACCAGCAAGCTCAGACTTTAGCCAAGTCAATGAATCTCTCTGTGGTAAGGTTGTGCTTTCAAGCCTTCCTCCCTGATGAGAATGGACGCTATACAATACCAATTGATCCTGTATTTAGCAACAAAGTCTATGACAGCAGTAAGTCCTCAATGTTCCTTAAAATACAGTAGAAAATATGATTTTGCATCACTTTTAAAATAATCTTGTATTTGCGAATTTTTAGAGGCACCTTCTGCTGGTACATTAAAGATATGTCGTCTTGATCGGACCAGTGGGAGTGTTAAAGGCGGAGATGATGTTTTCCTTCTTTGTGACAAAGTTCAAAAGAGTAAGATACATATACATACACTAACCCATGCACCGCCCCCTCCTTTATCATTATGATTGGTTTAATTCCTCTATCTACTCTTATAGACTGTATGTACAGTATAAACTTACATGTATAGGTTGATATCTCTATGTTACAATTACAATCGTCAAAGGAAGCCTTTATTTATGCTATGTCTTCTCTTTCCCATTTCCTCTTTCTCTCCTTCCTCTCTTTAGATGATATTGAGGTTGTATTTTATGAAGATAAGCAGGAAACTACTGGTGGGATGCAGTTGCAGCCGTGGATGGCTAAAGGAAGGTTTGGACCCAATGATGTCCATCACCAGGTAAGAATACCTAGTACTCCGATTAGTAGTAAATAGTAATTATGTAGTCTAGAAATTGCATGATCTGTATATGTACGCATGTAGATGTACACTTTAATATCTGATTAAAGTGAAGTATTGATGTTCTTAGAATGACATGATCTGCTATCACTCTGTCTGTGTGGTTTATAGGAAACAGTTTTGGTTTTATCCAAACTTAGAATTCTCTTTATGTACACATGTACGTGTACACAAATTCTTGAGCCACTGTAGTGTTCCCATTTAATCATACGTGTACATGTACCTCTTAAAGAATGTAGTACATGCAATTAAATCTCTCCCTCCTTCTCTCTCCCCTTCTCTCTCCCTTTCTCCCCCCCTCTCTCTCTCCCCCTCTCTCTCTCCCCCTCTCTCTCTTCCCCCTCTCCCTCTCTTTAGTATGCAATAGTATTCCAAACTCCAACATTTTACAATCAAGCTATAGAGCACCCTGTTCAAGTATGGATTGCTTTGAAGAGACCTTCCGATCACGAGACCTCAGAACCAAAACCTTTCCTCTACCTACCACAGGAATTTGGTATGTATAGTATACCATGTACTCATGTGAATAATACATTCAATAATTAACTCTCATTACATGATGTGTGTATGTACAGAATTGTGTGCTTATAATGACTTGAGGAACGTAAATGTAGTATACATGTACATGTATTTGTGACATGTTGTATTGGTAATTAATATCTCCAGAATTTCTCTACATGTACTACTTAATGATAATGATAATAATAATAATAATAATAATAATAATAATTTATTGTTGTTGTATATGTATGCATTACATGTATATGAAATTATGAATATTATTTTGATGTTATATTTCCTTCAGATGAGGAGCGTATTGGACAAAAACGTAGAAAGAAGATCACTCACTTTAACAACTTCTTTGAAGGTCCCGGTGGAGGGGGTGGGGCAGGGGGAGGGGCTGGAGGAGCTGGCGGTAATTTTTTCTCAAGAGGTGAGGAACAATATGTGAACGATTGGAAATAAAGGGGAATTTTGTTGCATAGTTGTTTATGCTAAGAGTATTCATGTTCATAGGATTAGTTTACTATTGATGCATTGACTGTGTGGCTTAGATACAACTTAGTAATCTGTTAGGACACGTTTACACATTATACTGAGGGGGCAACTGTGATATTGAGTGTGAATGTGTGTGTGTGTTTGTGTGTGATTCAACCCTTGAATTCTTTGTATATTGTAGATTGTAGATTGATTTGAATATGACGATTATACAATGTACTTGTATGCTTCTTTAGATTTCAACTATGGTTCTGGTGGTGGTTACAACAGTGGCTTTAATTTCTTTGGTGGCAGCAGTGGAGGAGGGGGAGGGTCTGGTGGAGGGTCTGCTAATAATGCCGGGACTGGAGGCGGGACCACGTTCTCCGGTGGGAACACTTCAGCTGCTAATATGCCAGTATCCGTTGACTCTCTTTACTCAACTCTACCTCCATCGTCCAACCAGCACATCTTTGCTGCCACAGCCACTAATCCTCATTACCCACACATGAGGCAGCAGCAGCCTCACGGTCTCTCCTTTTCCAACGGAGGAGGGAGGGGAATGGGAGGAACTATGTACTCTCATGCTATGGACCAACAGTTCATGTCAACCGCTAGCGGACACTTGGTCTCTCGTACTGGAGCTGGTGGCGTCACTGTCAAGAGAGAACCTCCTGATTATTATATGGACGTTGAAAGTACATAAGCATAAGTACATGTACATGTATGCAGACACTCGTACATGTAGATACATGTATTCATAAGAGTTTTCTGTTGCTCTTTATGCTAATGTGCTTTAGTTGTATAGACTAGCTAGCAGTTACAATTAGAGTGGGCTTTGTAATCTATACTTCCCTTATTGTGAAATATATTTATTTTTGTGTATAGTAACTGGTTGTATTTGTATAATGAATAGGGGACAATGTTCAGCCTCCATTACCTGCTCTGTCAGAGGAAGGAGGAACAGGTGGTGGTAATATCATGAGACCAAAGGATCAGCTCCCTCCTTCTCAACGTGGCCCTGGTGACAGTAAGCACCATCACTCTATCCCTCCTTAATCTATTCCCCTTCACTAGGTGGTAAGCTCCTTGATGTTAGCAGTAATATTGAGGACGTGGAGTCAGGCTATGTTGAGGCAGAGAGAATGGACTCAGGACTGCCAACTAGCATGGCTGGTATGTTATTTGCCTCCTATCTCCCTTACTCTTACTCTTCTCTCCATATCTATATTTCTATTTATAATAATTTTTATTTTATATTTATATGTTTTGTATGCTTATTCAAGTGCTGTACGTTTGTCTTTTCTTGTCTAATAGCTGAGCCTTCTCAAGAGTCAACCTCCAGTGAGACAGAGGCCCAGCAAGCTCTTCAAGCTCTTAAGGACCGACAGCAAATGGCCTTTGAAGTCTGTGACAGAATGTTCAATGCATTATTGGCCTGGGCCACCACTAAAGACATACGGTACCTCCTGGCGGCTCAGAGGAGCCTCACAGCAGTACAGAATCAAGAGGGAGACACGTGAGTAGAGACTGCATGTGTAGAGAGCATGTACATGTTAGATAATGGATATGATCATTAATTGTCAAGCTAATGATTGATTATCAAATATGGCCTGTTAGTAAAGCTACTGAAGGAATTATTATTTTAGCAATTTTAAGAAAGATAGTCAATATTTTATCCTATACATGTAGTGCAAATCTTAATAATATGACATCAAAATGTGCAACTGTTGCACTTTTTTATTTTTACTATTTTATTATTTTATTTTAGTGCACTTCATTTGGCTATCATTCACAATCATCAAGATGTGGTCCTTCAGTTATTGGATGTTCTCCCACAACTACCACCAACTGAGACACCTGTTGTTGACTGTTTGAACAATTTCAAACAGGTACAGCACCAGCACATGTACCATGACTTACCCTCAATATATCTTCTCTTTGATAGTCCCCAGTTCATTTGGCTGTAATCACAAGACAGCATAAAGTAGTCCAGTATCTTCTTAAAGCTAATGCGAATCCCCTTGTCTCTGACCGTAATGGAGACACTCCTCTTCACCTTGCCTGCAAGTATGGGTTCCTCCAGGGGATTGTGCCGCTACTGAACAGATCAACTCGTATCAATACTGAAGGCTGTCGTATACCAGAGCTGGTCATGAGGAATAATGACGGTAATTAAGAGATTGTAGCTGATAATTTACAACATGTACATGTACATATATGTATATGTGTACATGCAACTGTAAATACACTATTGCTTTATAGAGGCACATACATGTACATGTACATGTACCTTAATTAGAGAGCACTGTCTGTATTTCCTTTGAGGAAAAGCTTATCTACTTAGTAGCTCATGAGTGCATGTACTTGTGTGTGCATGTTATAGAAGAACATGTCATGCCACCAATTACTATTGGCATTTTAAGTTGACATTTCCTGAATTAGTACAATTAAATTCTTAACAATTTATAGTATGTACAAACCTTTATTGAATTACACTTTAGTTAGCTGTCTGGCAGTAAGGCTAGCTAGGAGATTTATTAAGAAGCACTTTATTGTAGTGCATGTACGCTCTGAAAACTAAAAATAGATTTCTTATAAATTTTAAAAGTTGCTCACAAATCGAGCCAAAGTCCCCCTGAACAGGGACTTTGGCCAAATTTCATCAAAAATGACTAGGAGAGATTTTTTATAATTTTTAAAATGCATATGCATGTTCTTATGTTGTGTAGCAAGTTTGAGCTGATTCCAATCAAATATGAATTTTTTTATGAATTTTTAAAGTTGCTCCAAAATCGAGCCAATGTCCCTGTACTATAGTACAGGGATTTTGGCCAAATTTCACCAAAAATGATTAGGAGAGAATTCTTTGTTTTTATAATTTGTCCTGATACATATACATGTTCTTATGTTGTGTAGCAAGTTTGAGCTGATTCTGATCAAATTTGGATTTTTTATGAATTTTCAAAGTTGCTCCAAATGCCATGTACTGTATTGTAGTGCTTGTCAGCTCATGAAGCTCATGCTGTTTAGCTCACTTAGCATGCTTTGTGGGAACCCTGCTTAGAGTTAGGTGTAGTTTCATGTGTATTTATGATTCTTAGGCCTGACTCCTCTTCATTTGGCTGCTGCTTGTGGTAATCCTGATTGTTTCAAGGAGCTAGTGAAAGCCCATGCTGATGTCAATGTTCAGGTATACACTCCTTTATCCATACTTTATTATTATTATTATTATTATTATTATTAGGATAGTAAATCAGGTAAAAGTGCTCTTCATTATCTCATAGAGAAAGGTGACCTTCCACTGACAGGATTCTTAATCACTGAAGTAACTGCTACATGTAACTCAAGTACATGTACATGTTAATTCATGTGATGAATATTATTATCACAGTTACAGAATTACCATGTAAAATAATCATGATTTCTTTCATTTCTCATCATAGTCTGAGACTAACATTGAGTGCACTGATTTCTCTGGTAATACTCCACTCCATTGTGCTGCTGCTCTTGGTAATGTGGCAATCGTGTCTCTACTCATTGCAGCAGGTTTGTTCATTATTCTGTAACTTTAACATAATACTCTCAAACTACTTTTAACATGTAATCCTGTACTATTGACCCTCACTGCCATATGTACATGTATATTGATGATGATGTATTGTTGTTTAGGTGCTAATCTTGTCTGTCAGAATCAAGAGGGAGAGCTCCCTCTTGTGTTGGCTGAATATGGAGGACATGAAGAAGTGAGTCGCCTTAAGTTATTGCCTTTCATTATTACCCACTGATTCTCAATATCATATCAATAGGTAGTCAAAGTGTTAAAGGACTCACTAGTGAAAGCTGGTCTTGATAAACCAGAAGGTAATTGACAATAAAGATAAACAAACTCTCATATAACTTATTGTTTGTCTTCCTTTTCTTCTCTTTCATTTTAATTTCCCTTTCTAATTCTCCTTCCCCCTCTCCTCCCCTCATCACAACAGAGCAACTATCAACACAAATGAAATCAGTCTCACTGACCGAAGAGGACAAAGCTTTGGCAGCTTTGAGGGCAAACAGCTCCGAGGGCGACCTCAGCAAGTTGGATTTCCGCCCGAGGATTTCCCTGGCCCTCATCCTTGATCCAATCAATGAAGGATGTGATTGGAAGGCTTTGGCAAAATGTCTCTCTCTCTCTCATCTTGAGGCCGGGCTCGAGGCAATGACGAGTCCTACCAAAGAGCTATTGACTATGTATGAGGTGAGTCTGTCCCTTTTCTTTGCTACCTATTGGTCATTGGTTCTGATAGGCTTGTGATGGGACCATTGCTAAACTCCGCCAGGCACTCCTGGATATCAATCGTAGTGATGCTGTCAATATAATTGATCGATATATGCAAGAAGAGAAAGGTTAGTACCGTATAGACTATAATGATGATGATGTATACTTGTTACTTGCTACTATACATGTACATGTATAATATGATCTATTGCCTGTTTTGTTGCTGCGTGTACACGTATTTTGTATGAACTAATGTGCTGGTTCTGTTCAAAGTTTTATGTTCTCATTCTCATTAGGTGTTGTCACTAGTAAACAGACTTATGATTCTGGCATCAGTTCAAATCCTTCATCTCTTTCTAATGAACAAGGTATAGTCATGCAGCATGTAATACACTCAGATGTCATTCCAGCTATCATTAGCAGTAGCAACAAATAATAATTGCATTAATATTACTCCTCAATACGTTATGCATGTCACTACTCACTACCAGTTCCAGTCCTAATAATGTATTGCTATTGACTTTATGTCCATGTAGATTGCTTTGCTCAATAAATACTAACACGACTAATATTAGTGTATTGATTGTCTTATTACTGTCTGTATTGCTCACTTCAGTTGTAGGGAAGCACTCCACCATTCCTTCTAGTCAAGTTTAGTGTACAAAAACTTCTTATCATGTCCTCTCTCCTTCCTCTCATTCTCTTTTGATGCCTCATAAGTTAACCTTTTCTATCATTTTGTCATTATTATTATTATCAAAGCAACACAATAATCCATCATATTGTTTGAGGCTGAACACATTAATTTATATTTTCCCCCTTATTCTTAATTATTGTTGTTATTATTAATTTACTGATTCATTATTTTAGTTAGTGCATTGTCAGTGACTTTTCTCCTTTTTTGATTATTAATAATAATTTGTAGCTATTGGCAAATCTTGTTTTTCTCACATCCCTCTCTTTCTTTTTCTTTTTTTTTCTGTTAATTTTTAATTTTTGATAATTGTAATTATAAAGCAAACAACGATCAAAATTATTTACAAAATTAATAATAATCAATGAAGGATCTATTTAAAATAATGTTACGTTTATCAGTAGAATTATTGAGTAGTAAAATTAATGAGTAAATCATTGCTAGGCATATACTACAATAGAATTGTTTTAAAGTGTATGTGAGTGTAGATTATGAGAGTGCTATTAAAAATGGCCATAACTCAAAAAATGTTTGTCGAAATCAGCTCAAAATTTCTACATAGCATAAGGACCTCAATATGTATCAGAAAATGTAATAAAAATTTGGTGTGATTTTGGACCCATTTTTTGGAAAAAACCATGGAAAAAAAAAAAAAAAAAAAAAAAGGGCTATAGTACAGGGTATTTTTCAGAAATTGGCCCGTTTTTAAAATGGCCATAACTCAAAAAATATTTGTCGAAATCAGCTCAAACTTTCTACATAGCATAAGGAGATCAATATGTATCAGAAAATGTAATAAAAATTTGGGGTGATTTTGGACCCATTTTTTGGAAAAAACCATTGGCTATAGTATAGGGTATTTTTGAATTTTTTTTTTTTGAAATTTTTTCTGAGAGCGTGAATATATTTTTGGAATTTTTTGAATTTTTCTGATTTTTTTTGAGAGCGTGGGAATATTTTCAGATATTTTATATTTTTGGAATTTTTTCTGATTTTTTAATGACAGTTTGGGAATATATTTATTTTATTATTAGAATTTTTTCTGATTTTTTCCGACAGTGTGGGAATATATTTGAATTATTTTTAATTTAAATGATTTTTCAAGATTTTTTCCAACAGCATGGGAATATTTTCGGATTATTTTTGAAATTTATCCTGATTTTTTTCCGAGAGCATGGGAATAT